CATCAGAGCATTCAAACTACCGCCTAGGGCCACAAATTCTACAGCGTGCTACTCATGAGTGCGATCTTGGCGTGCTCCTGCAAGAGGAATTTAAATGTTTCTGTCAGACTGCAAAGATATCAAACCAAGCAATCCAGAACTTCGGCCTTCTTCGTAGAGCGTTAGGGAAGTTCGACGCCTCAGTTTTTGGAAAATGCTTGGCGTATGTGGAATACAGCATCTAAACGTGGCAACCCTAGCAACACGTTAACGCGCTCAATGCTGCACAACGCAGGGCGACGAAGAACGTGATGTTTGTCCTGCATGCCCTACCCACTCAAGTTAAAAACTAAAAATGTAGAGTGGACGTTATCGGCGTCTACGGCGGGATCTAGTAATGGTATATCAGATCCTACGAACCTCAACCATATGTGCCTCTATTTTTTGAAACGCAGTCAAAAAACATCTCCGGGGGTCATCAGTTTAAGTTGGCCACACAGTACAGCCGACTGGACTGTCGACAAAACTTGTTCTCCTTTCGAGTGCCATAGCCCTGGAACGCCATATCAACGCATGTAATTAGTGCCCTCACCTTATCCCTTTTCAAAAAATGCCTTGACAATACTTTGACCTGTTTACACTATGTGATGTAGCCAGTGATCATCAGATGATGACATTAATGCAAAACAAACAGTAGACGGTGTCATAATCCTCCTAAACTCCAGGCAGAGATACTCATCATCATCATCATTTTACACGTTGGCTAGAGGTGGGAAACACCTCAGCTACTGTGCCGCATTACATAGAAAAAAGAAGAGGAATGTAACTGGTGCAAGCCTGCTGAGCTACCGGTAGCGGATGGGCATCGTTCCGATGAGCTACCAGCCGGCTACTGTGCATCAAAAAATTACTATACATAATTATCTAAGGCTAAATAGTGAGATTGTGGTTGGAGGGGGAGGCTAAGAGGGATCGACTGGGACAAAGAAACTCACAGCACGAACGCCACTGAGGTCGGCTCCTAACCATATCAGCAATCGTATCCAGGCAAACATGTTCGCCGTCTTTCAGACCCCAACCAGGGAGCCGAGATGCTCCAACCGAGGCCAGCTCCGAAGTGAGGACCTTCATTCCTCTCCACCAAGTCATCGTTTGGTCACCCCTCCTCTTCTTCCATCCACACCCCCGGCGCGCAAACAACGCACGTCGCGAGAGCCGGTGGACTGACAAGCGTAACACGTGGCCGAGCCCTCGGAGCCTGGTGAGTGAAATACTGGTGCTGAGCTGTACATTTCCTTTTCCTGTGCCGTAAACACAAGGCGTCGAACACGTTCGTTGCTAACTCGGTGTTCCCACCAGATGTGAGCTAAATTGCGAAGGCACCGGTGGTCGAACGTAACTAGCCTCTTCAGGTCCGCTGTTTTAAGCGGCTAGGTTTCCCATCCGTACAGTAGGGTCGAACGTACCACTGCATTGTACACTCTACCCTCCAGGGCAAGAGTAATGTCGCGCCACCGCCATAAGTAGCGAAGGTTAGCAAAAGCGCCCCGAGCTTTTGCTATACGGTTCGTGATCTCATCTTCAATCCCACGGGCGCTGATACAACTTCCCAGTTAGTTGAATTTTTGAACGACTTCTAGCTGATCCCCACCAAGGGTCAGCGAAGGAGGCGGTCCAGACCAATCTTGGAGGAACGCTTTGCACTTCGAGGGTGCGAAGCAAATCCCGAAGTGACGGACAGCCAGTGCTAATCTGTCCAGAGCCGCTTGACACGTTTGTGAGCTGTCACAGATTAGGGCAATATCATCAGCATACTCTAAGTCAAGAAGTCGTTCTCCTGGGAGCAGATCCACACCTTCAAAGTCGTGTCTTGTAAATGCAATCTCCATGAGTTCACCAATAGTGAAGTTGAAGAGGAAAGGTGACAGCGGGCATCCTTGTATCACACTGCTTGAGATATTAGAGGGCGACGACAGCTTGCCGTAAGCCCTCACTCTGCTCGAGCTACGCGCAATATAATGCTCGGATAATATTAAGATATTTCTCAGGTAACCTTTCCTGAGCAAACAGTCCCAAGGTGCACATATATCCACCGAATCGAATACACCTTTGATATCGAGGAACACGACAACGGTGGGCAGCCAGTATGTGTGACGGTGCTTCAACAAGTGACGCGAAGTGAAGGTGTGGTCAATGCAGCAACGACCTCGACAAAATCCGGCTTGCTCTTCACGGATCTGGCTTTTACAAGTGCCAGTCAGTCTGTGAAGGATGACAGAGGCAAGCAATTTGGAGGCGATGGAGATCAGACTGACCCCTCTTTGGCTGCGGCATTCTGATCGTGAGCCTCCCTTGAAAATTGGGACTATGACGGAGCGGCTCCAGTCGGTTGGGGTAGTTTCCTGCTCCCGCAGTTTCCCTAATAACTCGTGTAAATTATCCACAAGAAGAGGTCCCCGAATTTGAAGAGGGCTAGAGGTAGATCATCTGGTCCCGCGGCTTCATGTAACTTCAACAGTTCGATCTCACTTTCGACTTCTGAGCGAGAAGGTGGATCCAAAGGGACAGCCCACGGAGCGGGGTGATCACTGGCCGGCGATAAATCTAACCATTCCGGCCGATTAAATTGGCCGGTTAAATGGGCTCAACCCAACGCTCCAAGCGTTTTGACAAGTTGTGGATAGGCTGTCCACTGTCGTCACGTATAGTTTCACTAACACCAGGTCTCTTGCTTCTTGTTTCCCGTATCAAAGGGAATATCTTACGTTGGTTCTCAAGGGCAGCGGCCATTTCCATCTCTTATGCACCATGACACCATCAAACTTCGCGGTCTCTCTTAAGGTTAACACGTAATTTTGCCCAGAGTTTTCTGCGTTCGCTTTTTTCCGGAGTGTGCAGGTGAGCATTGACAAGTTCCAGAGACTGCGAAGAGACCCAGTGCCCATGTTGACGTTTAGACTTACCACATGAGGATTCACTTGTTGCTAGTAAGGACTGGTGAAGATGAGAACAGTGAGCTTCATTTGCATCCAGTGTGCGTTTATCCAACTCGCATGACAGCGTACTTTGATAGGCATTCAGAACAGTTGGCTTTGCCAGTTGGCTGGTGTCAATGCGGTCACAACGTCGTCGTGGGCGTCCGTCATAGGGCATCCGCAGGTCAGCACATACAAGTGTGTTGGCGGTGTCAACACCTGTGCTCCAAATCGAGCGGCAGTTCTGGACGCAGCCTCTCCATCGGTAACTTATCGCAATGTGATCGATTTGCGTCCATAGCTGGTTCGAGGCTGGTGGGCACCAAGTCACTATCAGGCGGGTGCTGTATCGGAAATTAGTGCTTGCAAGAAATAAGCGAGCATCTTCACACAAATGAAGTAACCGCTCACCGTTATCATTATAGTAGCCTACACCATGTTGGCCGCCCAGATGCAGCTCATCAGTGGATACTTTTCCAACTTGAGCGTTCAGATCCCCAGCCAGCACTACAGTGTCCGAGCTTCTTCTGTGGCTAAGAAGCTCGTTCAGTTGACAATAGAAGTCGTCTTTTACCGAGTCATCGCTAACGTTTGTGGGTGCATAGGCAGCCATAACGAATAGACACCTGTTAGTCCCACGCGAATTCGAAGCTTTGAATGAGCCAGCCAATCGGACCGCACACATCCGGCTACTGATTGGAATCCAATCAACCAGAGTAGCTTCAGCCCGGGGACTCAGGGCAATACCAACACCGGCTTGGCCGGTGCTCGAAGCTGCATCGTCACCGGATAGGTGCAATGAGAAAGTGCTGCTAGTGTCACCTGAAGGGGATCGCAGAGTGAGTACAGAGCTCGAGTCTTGCAGGCGGGTCTCCGATAAGCAGCAAATATCGATCGATAGGGTCTCTAATGTTCGGGCAAGTGCTACCTGTTGACCGATCTGAAGCAATGTGCAAACATTGAGGCATGCAAAAATACTCACACATACGCTACTGCAAAACTTGTTGAGTCAAATACCTCATACGTACTTTTACCCACATTGTTTTTATCTTGTATTTGTCACCCTAACCATCATACGGGACCTGTCAAGCATTTGCTTTTATATCCATCATAAACCATTTCTTTATCGCACCCGTCGATATGCCATCAATACGCCGTGCTTCTATCGGCCACAGGAAGCGTTGTACCAATGGATATCCTCCATTCCGTAATCGGTCGTGACGTTCGCTCCACTACCTTCCTGCTTGTCGGAAAGCCCCCCACTCCCACGGTGATATCTAGGTAGCTAGTAACTGCACCCTACACCTCTTCCAGACTATTTTGCTTCTTCGATGCGGAACGCTTTCTCCTCTCATAATGCACTAGTTCCATCTTTGATGGCACCTCGTCTGGCAACCCAGGAAGGTCTTACTTTGCACGTAGCCGCGGGTCGTTGGTATATCCACTGCCCAGTGAAACGCCTCCACGAGGAGGCACATGAATTGACGTCCTCTTCGTTTCATACCCGCATGATCTTCATACGTCTGAGAACTAATCTTTTTTGGTTTCTTATAGCTGGAAGTAGTGTCTACGACCACGCGCCTGCGTCTTATTGAATTCGGCCTTGACATTTACATGACCTCAGCTGAACCGTGCCTCCTTTTGTTCCTCAGACATCTTTCTTGTCTCGGAGTTACTTTGCCTACTCCTTTTCGGGCCTCAAAAGACTACACCCATTAACTTTGAAACAATGATGTTGCTCTTTCAATGTGGACAATTCCCTTCCATTGATCTGCTGATGGATGAGCTGAAGCTGTATCTTTGCTCTACACATCAGAGAAGTTCATTTAACTTCACATGGGACATACTATCCCCAGGTCATTGTAAACCTTCTCGTTGACGCTCTTGCGAATCTCTCGATATCAGGTTTTCACAATTTTTTGCAATTGCTTTGATAAACTTATCTCTGATTTTTGCGGTTGTTAGTCCAAACCATTTCTGCAGTCTGCATTCCACTCTGTGCGTTCTAATGCATTTACTTTTTGCTTTTCCCACATTGCACACCAGATGGACAATTCCCCAACTCCGTGTGAACTACGTTCAGTGTTTGTCGACGCGTCTAATGAGCCAACGTCCCTGTCGCTCCTCTCCCAGTTAGAAGACCAGACACAGACTGCTGATACAGGTGTTAATGTGGACGATGAGGATGGTGTGTATCAGCCCCAGCTGGTTCGCCAATGGCATGACTACGTTGCTAGCAAATTGGCGGCTGGTCGAGGTCGGATTTGGGCCGAAGTTTCGTCGAGAATCGAACCGATACTCAAGACAATGGATCGTTCAGCGGTCTCCATGTCCTTCGGTGAGGTATCCTCTGTTTTACAGACCATTGATCGGTAAGTCTCGATCAACAACACGAGTATAGTTCGATTGCTATACGGATTAGCGGTCCGTATCCATCTTCCGTAACACAAGTACTTTGGGCGTACTACTCTTGAGCCGATTGTGCCACTACTTTGAAGAACGTTCGCCACAGCTGCATTCACTCTGACGGCTACCATACACGTGAAAAACGCCAACCGACTTGTCAGAAGTGCACCTTTTATGTGTTCTCTGGAGAAGTTAAACCCACAACCCTTCTCCTTGAAAGCGTTGCTTATGATCACGGAACCGCTGCGGTCAATAGCTTGATCCGTGAGCAAGTGACTGGTTGTGATGCAGCGCGGCGGTGAATCGCCACCAACTGCTCGCATCCCATGATCGCAATGAAAACAAGAAAAACGAACCGGTACAGAATTGTATACATGAGAGTGTTGCTTCGTTTATGTGCAGTACAATGAACAGTGATTTATCACGGGTTACAAAATAAGTGGTTGACAAGTCTCTTAGGATGGTTGGACGATTACTATGAAAACGAAAAGTATCTCAGTCATCTACCGAGCACTTAGCGAGTTAAATGCGTTGATAAATATTGCTAGTATAGAGTAGAAATTGAAAGCAAGCATACAGTACAACACGGGGTGCAGTGCTCGTTAACATAAAATGTGAGAAAAGTAAAATATCGTCGCTAACGATAATAATTAGGCTAGTTCCTCGGAACCACAGATATCACTGAATAAGTTACGTTGACTTGGGCACGCACAACGTATGCCCGGTCATCGCTTCCCGAGAGGAGCCCTGTTTCGTTTACCGGGTGTAGAGTGGCGTAAGGCTCGAGTTGGGTATAAGTTGACTTGGCAGCGCGAAATGAAATCACTGACGGCCAAACTTAGTACCCTTGGTCCATCTCGCTTTCCAGCTTGAAGTTCACGGGACCCATTTTGTACTTGACTCGAGACGTTACAAGGCATAGCTCACAGCCGATTCCGGTGGCGTGTCTGCCGTCGTCTTCTGCTCGAACTGGTAGTTTAAAGTGTGTTTGGTTCTGAATTGTGTGAGAGGTGATGGTCGATTATGATACCGATGGCGTGTACGCGTGGGCAGCTTGACTCGGAATGTTTACTCAGGGCGTTTAGGTTTTACGCCATGTCCTCCACTTCTCGCTCTTATTATTCTTCGTTTTGCAGGTTATTCTGCTTATACGGCTACAAAGCACCAGGTAAAATGGCTGCTGCTGTTGTGGTGGTAGTTGAGCTGATACTCGAAACATGGAGACTGAGGTTGTCGACGAACGTTGGGCACGCTTGCCACAGGAATTGAGTGCTCATTGTTAGGTCTTGTTGAGCACCCGTTGTGCTCACTGATTGCGGAGCGATCAGTCGAAATCGTTTCCTCTTCGTTGCAGCACATCTCGAAGGCTAGCCTAGTTATCCTCACATCGGGTGATTCCTTCCCCGTATATGGGTGTGTAAAAACGGAAGGCGCCACTGCCCGCCCCTCATTTTCAGTCAAACATCTCACCACTGCTTTTTATTACGGGGTATTTTACCGTAGCTGGTTAGCCACTGTCGTTCTAGGTGCCCGCTTTCAAGATCACGTTTCTCTCACCATCCTTGTGCGCTATAAGTGTTCATTTGCGACAAGCGAAGCCAAAATTACTTTCACTTCTAGTTTCTAGTTAGAGCTACCGCTTCAGTTTCGACAGCAGCCTTTGCTCAGTATTACTTCGCACCGCGTGTGTATTGTCGCACAATCTTTGTTCGTACAGTTGCCATTTGCATTGCATACTATAGGATCATCCCTCTTCTCGTTGCGGCCTACCCGATGTTCTGCTTCCATCGGGCTGCAAGTTTGAACAAGCCTGGTTCTTGACGCCAACGCTAAGTGAAGGAAAAACGTGACATCTCGGTTTCACTGGGGAATTTGTTTCTATCACAGATATGTGACATCACACTGAACTATCCTCAAAACCCGTGCTTCGGTTTGGTTTCCTTTGACAGGTTGATGAAAATAGGTGAAGAATTCTCCGGTTTCACGCGTTCCGAGCTTTCAGAATTGCTCCGCTCATCCATTCACACGTTTTTCAAAGATTTTCATCGGTATGTTTCAGTCTACTTTTGATGATTGCTCTCTCAGCTTTTCTACTATCATGTGTTCCCTTTTGACAATGTGAACCTCCTCCCCATTTCCTTGACGATATTTTCTCTACCTAGTGCATTTATTTGCTAGAGCAATCCTTCAGTGCAGAGCTGCGACAGTCAACGGGAGGTCATCGCATTCAACATAGAGTTCCAGCAACATTTTTAGCTACTCAGTTTTTATGAAAACGATTAAAGCATCTCTTTTAGAAAATTATCATTATTATTTCCTACTTTTAGGAGTTCTCGGTTGAAGCTATATTCAGCCTGATGTGATTCGGACTGTTTGTCACCTGGTCAACCTAGCTCCGCAAACGGCGTTTAAAGCAGCGGATGTGAATCCATTCGAGTTTTCTTCTGTTAGCCTAAATAAGGGCATGTGAGTTCGGAAAGGTTTGGAAACAATCGGTTGGTATAATAGTTTGGTAACATTTCGTCCTCGACACGAGAACTTCGTCAGACCAGGTGAATCAGTGTGCAATTAATGTGGGATTTTATAGCGAACAGGGGCGATAACCGCGTTACCCGAGACGGTCGGAATTCCGTACATGGAATGCACTTCGGAGGCAATTCGAAGGGTACTAAACAAGGGAAATATAAAGGTGATATTTCAGCGAGGTCGAACGTTACGTTCGGCGCTGGTACACCTGAATGACCCCCTTCCCAAAGATAGGACAACTAACTGTGTTTATAAAATTAAATGTAAGGACTGTGCACATGTTTACATAAGCCAAACAGCGAGAGAATTACACACACGAATTTCGGAGCATAGGAGGCGCATCGCAAGACTACCAAGAAACGAGTTTGAATATCAGGCAATAATAAGAGACTCGGCCGTAGCTGTGCATGCATTAGACACGTGTCACCAGATAGACCGAAAACGTAGAGGTCATTAGAAGGGGTATCCGATCAACCACTCAGCGGTTGATTGCCGAGGCGGTGGAAATCACCAAATCTGACGACGGCGTGAATAGAATGGAGGGGATAGAACTCCCTAATGCGTGGCGGGCGGTCTTAAGCCAGCCAGCTTGACGAGCATCGGTGCGTGGATCAGATTGGAAAGTGCAAACTGACTCCCATTGTCAACACTACGGGCTTATCCGTCCTTGTCATGACGCACAAAGAAACAGCTGGACTATTCCCACTGTGATCGTACCACCTGAGGTGACATCACCAACTGTTACTGTAATGACATCATGACTCTAGTCTCGGGTAACGCGGTTATCGCCCCTGTTCGCTATAAAATCCCACACCAATTGCACACTGATTCACCTGGGCTGACGAAGCTCTGGTGTCGAGGACGAAACGTTACCAAACTATTATACCAACCGATTGTTCCAAACCTCTCTGAACTCATGACTACTCGATCGGTTCCAAGTATCTTCCAAGAATTTGAAGGGCATGTGATCTTGTTGTGATCTATCGCTCACGCTGTATTTAGTTAAAATTGACAAGACGGCTGATTTAGCGGATTCTTTGTCCTCTTTTGCTATCGACGAAACACCCCGATTTTTTCGCAACTTCCACTTCATATCTCTTACCTCATTGGGACGGTAGCTGCGACGCGGAATGCAGCTTAGCCATAATTAGCAAATATCACTGCGATTGGGTGTTGGTTCCGTTCCTCTAGCAGGGACTCATGTGTGCAGTCAACAGCGTCGGATCGGCCATTTGCTACGAGGTCACTTTTTGCAGCAGAAAACTGCTTGACGATCTGTGGCTGTTAGCTCAGTACGCGATGTCCCACAAAAACCCCATTTTGCTTATGTGCTAATCTTGTTCACTATCTTCGTTTTACCACGGCGCTCTTCTTTTTCTTTCTCCTCGCTTCCATACTGCTGTTACAGTGAAACTCCAATCCCTAAAACGAATTGACGATACTAACTTCACTAGTGTTGCTATTGTCACTATCATTATTATCCTCAATACCGATTGGATCGGCGCCACATCATTCTCGCTCATCTTCCGTGCATCTACTGTGAGAGGCCTGTTCTCTCTTCGCATATGTTTCGCACGTTGGAACACAGCCCCTCTCATCTTTCCGTTCATATTGACCTCGGAGACAATGGGTTTATTAAGTCATGCTTCTTCTAATACTACCTACACCTTTCTCCTTTTATCGATCGTTATCACCGTTTTTGCACGCCTTGTGTCTACGTATCGCATGTGTTTTTAGTCTGAATAGATTAACGGTTATGTGCCTATTGCAGCAAACACTTGGAGCGATTACGGATGTTTTTGGAAAATGAAACATGGGAAATGTGTCCTGTCAAGTTCACCTTCACTGTGTTGGACCTTCAGGTAATCCCCGACAAATTGAATAAGCCACGTGTTTGTGTTTTCCTCATATGTTATCGCTGCTTTTCTTTCTCCTTCAGGAATTCCAACCATTGTCGAGCTTATTGAAAAAATCGGAAAAATTCTCGCCCAGAGATCGCAGACGGTTAACTCCTGATTCATCAGAGTACGATTTCACTAACTTGATGCCACTTGCATATTCCGTTTACATTGCGTTATTTCGGTAGATCGTCTTGTCCGCCCTTCAGCTTCTGCTCACTACAAAGTGAATTAAATGCGACTTTTACCGATCAATCCCCTGCCAACTAACTCCTTATCCGTCTGTGTTTCTATTTCATGCCCCTTGGTCACCAATCTAATGTACACACCTGCTGTGTTATTTTGGATTCCCGAAAAATGAAGCAAGCATGATGGATGACAATGGAAGCACGTTGAGTTCTAACTTACCCAACTTGTCCGATGGTAGTCGCTTGCCCAACTGTGGACACGGTCAGCTGTTCCGACATTATGTTCACAATCACAAATTTACTTGTCTTCTGCACGTTCTACTTATCGAAGTACGCTGACATTCGGGTTGACTAATCGCTTGCTGGATACCATTGAAAGTCGTTGGTCTCGTGTTCACCAAACTTTACTAGCAGAAGGCTTATCCTCATATGGTCAAACAGCCAACATGGACATCGGGTCTCTGGAACGTATCGATGCTCTTCGGCACCGTCCGGTTGGAAGCGAACACAATGCGGCTCGAAATAACCTCCGGGCAAAACTCCGTGCTAACCTGAAGAGGTATCTCGAATCCTAGTGGTCTCTTCGTGCGTCAGAGATGGAAGTGGCCGCTGCCCTTGGTAACCATCGTAAGTTATTCCGTCTGATACGGGAAGCGGGCAGCAGGAGACCTGGTGTTAATGAAACTATACGTGACAAGAGTGGACAGCCTATTAGTAACTTGTCAAAACGCTCGGAGTGTTGGGCTGAGCACTTTGAAAGGCAATTTAATCGGTCGAACTTGTCAGATTTCTCGCCAGCCAGTGATGACCTTGCTCCCTGGGCCGTCTAGATCCGCGCTCTCGCTCAGAACTGAAACGTGAGATCTGACTGTCGAAGTTTAATAAAGCCGCGGGACCACCGGTGCCTTCACAGTTTATATCACATCTGGTGGGAACACCAGATGAGCAGTGAGCATGTTCGAAGCCTTGTTTATGACACAGGAAGAGAAAGTGAACCGCTCAGCATCGTTATTTCACGCACTAGGCTCCGATGGCTGGGGCGCGTGTTTTGCATTCCAGCCCACCGGCTCCCGAGGACTGGTTGTGTTTGATTGAGGGTGCTGGTGAGCCTCATAGACTTTACAACCACTCTGGGTCGCTCACAGTGTGCGAATATCCTCTTCCGATACCTGTTCAAACATTTCGTTAAGCGATTTCCCTCATGTGACCAAGGTCATAAGCAAGCACATTCCGTGCATAGTGTTCATCACTTCTGTAAAGGCACGTCGGCGCCGCTTGCTCCCAAAGCTGCACCGCACTTACATCGGATACGCTTTGGAGATCGAAACCACCGCGGTTTTCGTTAACATACTTCGCGATCCGATTTGAGACTGCCTATAGCATTCTAAACACATAACGTACTCCCAAACATAACTGAATTCACCGGATCAATTCGCAACGTCGTATAGCACAATTGTTGTGCTCCAAGCTAGATCATCACAATTCTCGTTACCAGTAAACGGACTTTATCAGCGAGTAATCATCTGATCCCGTGTATATACATAGTCCGCTATCGTGTGCTTAAATTCTGTTCGACACCGCTTTCGTCCATAGCCCTGTTGAAAACGATATTTTCTATCCTTAGAGCACCTCCCCCACTTGTAACCCTTCCAACATAATAAGTGAGTAACAGACTTTACTTCGAATTGTGGACGCATTTCATCGAATAGTGATCAAACCGCTGGTCATGTTAGGTAGGAGTTATCAGCACAGCGGAGTCTTAACTGGCGCTTCGATGCCGCGCGATCACCAGCGGTTCCTTACTGGTCAGGATACTTCGAGGTCGCCTGCGTCTGCACGGTTCTGAACCAGTGACAAGTCGAACGCTTGGACCAATTCACCCTACCATGTGTGTAGACACTTTCAGTGCTAGTCACCCGGGAACTGCACATTACACGCTTTCATATTCGTTTGAAGCTTTCAGACAGAGATAGATGTAGTTGGGAATGGAACTTGGCACGTAGTTGACACAGATACCTTGTTTGACAGTTGTACACCTTAACGGTGCTTCGCTACCGCGCGACCACCAACAGTCGCGCGTGGGCTGAGTATACCGCGAGGACGCCTGCCCCTACGCGGATTCGAACCGGTGACCTTATGGTTGCAAACCAGGCATGCAGACCACTCGGCCATTGAACTTGTTCACTGACCCCTTCGTGCAGCGGTTGGGTTTCTGATTGCCCACCGTTTGTTTGGATTCCGATGCGCATTCCACAAAATGTGTCATGCTATTTTGTGCTGTGTAACGTAGATTTTGGCTATGTCTCACTCTCTTCTGTCAGTCTGTCCTCATCACTACATTTGAACAAATTGATTTAACGTTAAGCTGGAGCATGAAACGTTTGGGCTCTGCCCCTGTTTTTAATCAGCTTCTCGTGAAGTCTAGGAGTACACAATTTATCTATATAAAACGAGGCTCTTGTTGAGGTCGCTTATCTGAGGTTCACTGGTATCGCTTCATGATCCACACGCTTCTTCTAACTACGGAAACCTTCTCCGTTAGAATGTACTTTGTTGATCAATTTTCTCATTCTTCTGTTTGCGTGCGTGAATTGCATGACTTATGTTCTCAGTTAACATCCGCCACTTGGATATCAACTGCGTTCGGGACCACATCAATGTGTTTCGCTCTGCTTCGACCGAATGGAGAATTATAGCTTTGTAGTTCTTATGCAATTTAAGGCTTACTGATAACCTCTTTGTCCTCCTCTCACTACTAATTACCTTTCAGCACCTAAGTGCACAAGACCTGAATCGGAAATATAGCTCTTTTTAATGTCAGTAGTTTATCGGATTATGCTGTGCAAACCCAAACGGAGTTGACCACAAGGGCTGAGACGTTAAACTATCCTAATGGTTGAATAGGTGGGGTTTTTTTGGTCTCTGTTCCCTAACCTGCGTTACCGCTCGCTATGCTTATCAGTAAAAGATTTCGTAGTTGTAACGGTGTACACATGTCCATCAACTTTTGCATTCAGCCTGTCGAGCGTAGCCACACATTTTCATCCACACACACAACTGTTCTAAACGTTCTTGCCCCTCAGTAACACTACGTGCTACATGTCGAGAAGCTACGCTTCACTCATGCGAAACCCTAGTCCTGGCGCCTTAGGCTTTCTTGAACACACACATACTACTCATAAAGTTCGTTCGAGTAGAAGTCTTCGCATTTTATTACTTCCTTTCCCCTCCGCTGCGAACGAACGAGATTTAGTTCCAGCGAGTTTGTGTATTTCTCATAATACTCACTTTTGCCCTTGTCATTGTCATTGCTATCCACTGTCGTGCATATTGATCTTTTTCTCACATGTATTTCATTTAACTTATGGTCTGTATCCCCGCACGGAGCTTCAGACCTTGTGCATGGGGAGTGACTGGAGCAATGAAGTCCAACTGAGCTCCAGATTGCCGACACCCATATGCCAGCAACTTGCTGAGTACCTTAGACGCCGGGCTTTGACCTTGGCGTAGTTTTTGGGGCCCCTCACGGGGCTGATCATGCAATCAAAACAAGCGGGCGTTTCCCGCGAATGGTGGTTTGATTCCCTATCTGCGTTTTGGTTGCGGATATCTCGACACCGTGTTAGGCGATATCTTTCTAGGTTGCACTGGTGATCATTCCTCTTCCAGTCCAAGAAATATCCAGCGTTTTCAGAAAATCGTTCCTCTGTTCGCTCCTCACGATGTGCGTTGCATGCGTGTTGTCTTTTATCCGTCAGCACACTCCCTTGCTTCTACCTTTAGGGTTCACAATGGGAAAGTTTCCTCCGATAATTTTTTCATACCACCATACAAGCGGTGGCAATTTTGCGCACACGACCGGGCCCACAGTAGTCGTGCGTCAAGCGATGTCGAGACTACATCTACTCCAGTACCGGATTCCACTGAAAGTGAATCATCTAACTCCTTGGATTCTGGTCTCGGTTCTCACTCTTTTACCACGGTACGTCCGTGCACCTTCACTATTCACTGCTTTCCTCTAACACACACACCACTTTTTATTCACCTCCAGAGGAACAATCAGTGCCACAAAGCCCGGCGCTTCAGAGACAGATTCGCCACTGACGAAGCAATAAGGCAGTCGCCACGGTTCTCATATGGCCGATATGTATTACTGTACTGTTTCAAGAAGCACCACATATGCTACTGCGCATTAAGAGGAACTGTCGCTTTTACCCGAATCACAACACATAATCTAACACAGTTAATAGGTTCTGATATGTTCCTGGATCCGCATAACGACGCCTATTTTTACTGTCTCCCATATTACGATCTCCTGTGTGCGCGTCTGGGTGGCCATGTAGCTCGTTACTCAAATCCAATTTAGTATTCTCATCTACATCTTTCTCGCAACATCCGAATTAGGCTGCCTACACTACTATCCCATGTACTTTTCTCGATGGTTTGAGAAGCATTCATTTTTGGTTCCAACTCACAGGGTGCTTCGCACTTAGGTTTTGAAAACAGACGCCGCTGTGAGTAGTGATTTCTACACCGGCTAAAGACTGAGACTGTATTTAAGAGCAAGTAGAAATGTTACGATAAAACCATTGAATTATGAAAATTTAAAAAGATTTAATTGCGAATCGTCAGCGGTTGTGTTTGGTCAGTTAATTGTTTATCCTTGTTCAGTTAGGCATTCCTATTTGTATCATTATTTCCGGGTATAGGATGTACTTTTTGCATTGTTTGTGCACCGTTTCACTAAAGCACAGGTTTCCAAAATAATCGTCAATATTTGTTTTAAAACACTTCACAAAATCGGCCTCTATTAGTCCTTCAGGTAGTGTATTCCATAAGTTTACTATTCTTCGTTCCATACAATGCTTATGTGATACCTTATTCATACAGGCGACCCTGAGTTTGTAACGTGTCCTCGGGTGTTACAGGGTTTCGAAATCATCCGTCAGCCGGCCTTAGTAAAGTGCAACTCGGCTGTCCACTAGGCATTGCGTAGAGTAATAATGACCGCCTTTTACTTGAGCCTCGCTTTTGATGCTATCTTACGTTAATTCGCCCGGGCTCACGGGTCGGTTTGTTTGTGCATTTCCCCATTGTTCCTGGTCGGTAATCATTCTTCGCACCATTCATTCTCCCTCTCTCATATATGGGATACACACACACTTCTCGTACTTCCATCGTCATGGCGCTGTATGTCGCCGATCTGCGCTTCTGTAACTTCTCTGTCTCGTGCATTGACTCCGGCACATTGCAGTCATCTTCACAACACTGTGGCCCGCTGCTTTCAAGTACCACTCTGGAAGCACTCCGGCTAATCGGTGAGTCCTCACATCACTTGGGGCCAATGGATACTCTTTCTCCTACCATTTCTGCTCATCACCAACACTAGATCGGTGCTTCCTCTTCGTAGGTCCTTTCTCTGCATCACATACTACTTAAATGAAAATGGCAACCGTGTAGTTCACTCGTGGCAACTTACTAGAAAATCATGCGAAGTCGAATGCGCAAAATTGTACTTTCTACTCACACTGTGTAACGAATCGTTCGGAATGCACAAAGCCTCTCTCCTGGGCACGCAGCTGCACTCCGGAATTGAGACAGAGAATGATGGTCTAACGACAAACGGCGCTCGGTTGGTGATTAGCTACGATCGTTTACTTTTGCGGGTGAGGTGATTAAGCAGCTTCTGTGCTGGACGAACGCATTGTGTCGGTACTCGTAACAGCAACCAGCGTTGTTGCCGTATTTCGGTTCAGCTGAAATTTAGCCATAGTAGGTCATTTGTGTGGAGTACTTGGATCCCCGATACCGACTTCACTCACCACATAAGTTCCTCTTGTATGGTATGTGATTCACTGCACAGCAGTTGTGGTATGATTCCACCTTAGATCCGCAGTAACTAGGAAAATAGCGGCGTACGCCTCACCCAGGACACAGGCAGGTTAGCTGTTAAGGTGCACAGACCATTGCAGTTTGCTGCGATTGCTGTGCAGACGTTAGTTTTATGCGTAATGTTACCAACAAGCCTTCAACGTTAACTTACCTGATGGGATCCTATTGGCTCGTTTAATTTCATCCAGCCATCTTAACGTTTGTTCTGGTCATTTATGGTATCTTCATACAACCCTTTCGTGTGTATCATGCTAATGCTTATGGGAACTTTACTCGTTGGAACTGGACCTGTCAAGATTCTGTTCGGACTTTGAGTGGCTAACGTAACTTAAAAGATATCTGTTGTACCATTAAATTCATTCCACCTCTTAATCTGTTTCTCGATTGGCATCTGCGTATTCAGTACACGACGTTTTACACGCAACTTGTTTACAAGCAGTTTTAGCTAGCAATAGATTCTGCGGATCCAAGCATTTAGCTCCATGTTTAGGTTCTTCGTGTACTTCGATTTTCTAATTATGAACATCAAGCAGTGTCTGATCACCACTTTCGTTGGATTGGCCTGATCACTACGACATTCTCACCCCTTGGAGATCGCATGACATCGTGTCTGTTCTGCTATTTATGCCGTTGCCTCCTTGTACAGGCGTCTTCGTTCACATCATCACTCTCAGTGCTCATACTGCCTTAATTTCCCATCTGGTTAGCTCACTACATGCGAGCGAATTCTTCTGCGCCTCTCCTAATCGAGTTTTCTGCTCTCCACTGACCTCCCTCACCTGCGTCTCTTCACTTATTCAGTTATACTTCCAATTGATCATCACTCTGGATGGATCAGTTTCGGTGCACGCTATGTGCGTGCTGCTTGCAACACTCCGGCGTAATTTTTGCTTTGAACATTAAACCCTTACTTCGCTTTCTCTCCTAATTTAAATACATCTTTCAATCTAATTACTATCCTATTGACGCGAGTGTTCATGATCCTATTCAACCCAGTCGTCGTTTGATGGCTCGGAATCTCATCACTTAGATGCTTTCTTCTTGCTACCCTTCCCTGTCCTTACAACTCTTTTCCCCTATTAGTGTGCAGCAGACTGTTACTGACCCAGAAACTGATGCTGATGATACATCTAATCCGACTTTCATACTGCGGGTCTTTTCTATTGGCTGATTGGAAGTCTACTCTATAGAAAGGATTGGTCAATCAACAGTGTCAACTTATCGTTAATTACCCTGTTCACCGTGCCTCCGAAACGCGCATGCAGAATAACAGTTTCGTAGTGAATCTACGACTACTTTTGTCTCGAATCCGTCAACTGTGACCATACTGTGCCCGCCTCTGGCGATACTGAATCGATGGCTCGAGGTATCTATGCTGTCGGTACTGCCCTTAGCAAACTGGCTAAAGCAAATCTCCACTGTATACCGGTGAACAGCTGCATGCGTGATGTTCGACTTGGGACCTCCATTTAAGTGAAACTAAGCACCGTCTGAAGACAGTATGTCTTCATATCCTTTTGGGGAATGCTTTAGTCAGCTTCGGCTCGGAGTATTGCTCATAGCTAGAGGGAACACCGGGTGAACACGCTGAACTCCTCAAATTAGTGTTAGTTAAAAAAGGTTCTGGCACTTCCCTGGAGTGTTTGTTTAAGTTTAGTGACATACCTTGGCTAGGTCATGTCTTCTGCACTCCCGTCGCCTGGCTCCTTCGGCGCGCATTATACCTCATCGCTGCACCAAGTTGGGCGAAACTGCGAGGTGGCCAGTCGATGTCATGGCATAAAGGTATGAAGAAATTGACTGAAAAGCTTGCTTAAGCTGGTGCATGCCGTCTTCGCAGATGGGGTTCTCTGGATGATCTGCATCTGTGGTTGGAGACTATCAGATGTGGCGCAGTCATGCAATCAGTGGCGTTTCTGCATCCGGTTCCTTGCATCTGACTGTTAATATCTTATGCCGATTAATTTTACTCACTTTTTCTTTTCTTTGTATTCCGGTCGCATTCGTCCTCATTTCCCCCACTATCCTTGGATACTTTTGCACTGCCGACGAGTTTGATGGAAAATGGACTCACCGTACTTCGTTGTCTGGATCATAGTTGCTTACGCCGAATAAACTGCAGCTCAGCCGTCCATTCTTTTCACATACCTCGCTTGGTGGATAGCATCAGGAAAGCAAATAATACGTACAGGCGTTGAATACTTGTGAGCACTCGTCACTCTTTGTGCTCATCTATTTCGAATCGTGCTCTAATCAGCCACTCATTCAGATGTCAAGCGTATAAATGGTTTCCCATCATGTTGGGTGGTGTTCCAATCAAATGGCGCATACTAAAGTTCCCATTTCTCTAAACTTTATGGTGGTGCTCTTCAGAGCATCTATTTTCTAGTATACTGCATGCAGTACCCGGTTTTACAATGTTTGCAGGCGGATCATATCCCCTTCTTCCAGCCAACCCAGCTGGCTATGTTCCATGGGGTTTGTTTGCAGTACTGTTTTACCGTGCCCCTATTGTGCAACCGCAGAGCTATCCATCTCTTTATCCTGATGCTTGTCATCCAGTAGTTTTACACTACCGCTCCGACCACATTTACTGTCGAACCGAGTTGGAAGAGGACGCACCGTCTACTCTAGCCAAATGCATCACCATATGATGCACACCATGCTGAGTGCAGGGATCAGCCATTTTTGGTCCTTGGCTGAAGCTCCGTGGCACTAAATGGCGCAGAATTTGGAGCCGGTTGTTTTATTATACGAAATACTGACGCCCCCACGTGGGCATTACTTCATGGAGTGTAATAACTGTACTTTTCTACGCCTACGTAATTTGGTATGTGATTTTCCAGCGCTCCGAGATATACGGAACACCTTCACGTTGTATATCGTTGAGTCGATGGGGCGAGAACTGAATTGAAAAACATTTCAATCTCATCAATTTGAGGTCGCACCTCGGCAACAATATCGTGTCCATCCGGACACATACGCCCTCATCCTTTATACATGCGCGGTGGACACCTCGAATGCGAGTATCTTCGGGCTTGTGGTCTGCTTGGTGTCCTCCCATGTTTAGCTCCATTTTGCTGTTCTGAAATATCTCACAGACTCTGTGTTCGCTCGCTTGAATATGCTTTTTGCTTTGTTTACAACAGCATACCATTCTAACGCATTAATTTCTATTAGGTATGCTATCGTACCCTTAGAGCATTCTACTTTGTGAGCAACCGTTTATAACCTGCAATGCGTCTGGACGACGTCGTATCCATTTGATGGTCCCAGCTGCTTCAAGTATTCTTTACTAGTAAAGAGACTATTACGCTCTCATTAACCGGTAGCCCCTTTACGATTCATCTGATCGATTTCCATGGATCTTGGTAAATCGCTTCTTCTTGTCCACTATTTTAATCAAAACGTATCGCCTCCCTTGTGTCAGGTCGATACATGCAAATGATGCACCTGCTGAAGCCGATTGCGTCGGAAGTGATGCACTGCCTCTGTCAGGTATTCGACTATTACTTGTACTCGGTAAGTTGCCTGGCCGTTGTTAATGCCATATAAACCCACCCTTAATCTCGGAGTACCCGCTGCGTATTTCGGTCGGCCGGTGGCTAAAAACGTTGCATGCTTATCCTTGTAACCCGGAGGTCATTGGCTCGAATCCGCATAAGTACGTACGACTTAACGATGTACACAGCCCACGCACGACCGGTGAATGTCACGTCGCAGCGACGCATCGATGTGGTGTGTCTGCGTACTTTTCGTTTTTCTTTTCTATGGGTAACGACACACCATACGTTCGGCGTTCGGTCAATCTCCCACTCCACCCTGACTAATTTAAGCACTAAAGCCATGCTATCACACATTTAGTGATGGTATGAAATGTCTCGGTTCGTCTCTTGCTTTTTATCCAACTGTGAACCGTCGTCTCAACGCAGCATTTACTCAATCATCAGTTAGAATCCATATATTTGACACTGTTGTCCACCACCAGACCCTTGTTTTGATGTTCAACTGTATGGTATAACAACTGCATACAGTTCATTACAGTTTGCCAATCAAGATTTATGTATTAGGATACCGTGGGTCAGTTTGTTCCCATACGTGTCGCCAAAACAATAAGCACTAATGATATTTATTACATTGACGATTTAGTAAGAATGCACATGAGATAGAGTTGCCAGCTGGAGTAGTTATGAGCCATAACCAAGTAAATAAGCGCAAGAACGCCACTGACTTCGTGATCATGTTATATACGATGTGTACAACCATCGATGTGACCGATATCGCGTTCACTATTCCGAAAAGGGATGCACACCAACCCGACTCAACTTTTTGGTGAGCAGCAGCGAATCGTTCAAAATCAGTTCGACCACAAAATTGAGGAGAGAGAAGGTGCCGACGTAATTCTGTAGTGTTCTGCTTGTCATGAGGTACTCAAGGAGGAGCCTTTTTTAAGCTTTCACTCGGCTCCGGAAGTCGCCGTATAGTAATCTTAGAGTGGATAACAACTTTTCAAACCGTCCAGAGCAAGGCATCGCCAAAGACGGGCACGATCAACCTAGTTAGGAGTGACTTCCAAACCAAGAGGATCAACTTGACAAAGTGTTTGTGAGTATCGCGACGTCCGATCACCCGTTAAGGAATAAAAATGGGACCAATGCACTCACTGCCTGAAGGGTAGCCTGTCTACTTTTTACGACTCGGTCTCTCAAGAGCTCCATAAAGCACCGCAACATAATGCATGTAAGCTGTAAAATTATCAGCCAAGCCAATCTTTGGATCACCAGAATTGATGTTTACACTATCTGCTTGTCAAAACCCCTCTGTCCTCCTATTCGCCGCCGCCAATGGTTCTGTTCAGTTGTTACGCCTTGCTTCATGTTGTGCCCCCACTGCGCGCATCCATCCATGCAACCTGCTCCACCACACCTGCCTGTCGTCTGTTCATTCTGATGCGGGCCTGTCAGATATCCCAGCAAAAAGGCGCCACAAACTCCGGCGAAATGGCTGTGAAAAGCGGAGTTCAATTCCTCCCCCCAACGTAGCAGGTTTCAGACACTCCGAACCGCGGCACAACTGCGCACATGTTGACGAGGTTCTTTTACAAACTACCACCCCGTCGCGGTAGCTATTTTTACTAACTTATTGACCCATAGTATTGGCTATGATTCGCCCTTTGTTGGTCGTTAAAGAGCTTTCAGAGAACCACTTGTCTTGCTTTATCTTCGTCGTTAATGGGAGTCGGTTCGGCCGCGTGATTTTTGTGTGCGTCAGTAGCCGGGCAGCGTTCGCCCCCAACCCAATAGTGCGCGTCCACCGTCACCCCCTCTCGTGTGCGTAGCCTCGTCCGTTACGAGGGCTCAGCGTCTACCCGAATAGGTGTGGCTAGAAACGTCCTCACGCCAGCGCAATTTTCCGCCTCACGAGCGCGTACCCCGGGCTAAGCTAACATCATCGCGTTAGCGCAAATCTGTTCGATCGGCCAACGTTCCAAGCCGTTATCGTAGGCGTGCTCAAACCGTGCCAGTGACAATCCTATCATGCTCAAATTCTCGTCAGAGGCGTCTCTCAATCTTAACAATGAAAAAATAGAAGCTAAACAAAGGGAAGTTTATAGGATACGCAGTAGCAAACTCGAGAGCTTCATGTAATTGGTGCCATGTTTTACTCAAACATTAGTGCATCTATAGTCAATAAATGTGTGACAGTCAGACGTTCCTTATTAGATTGCGGGTGGTGACGCAGTATGTACTATGATTAGATTAAGACTATGGGACAAAAAGCGTATGCAACTGAGGCGCTACTAACGAGATGTGATGTTGGAATAAGGGATGGGTCGAAATATATATTCACAGACGAATGGAAGGTATCATAATGTAAAACACAATTTTATTGAAATATGAAAATAATTGTCGAACTGCTGCTTGCTTGACAATAGCAGCGTGCTTGAATGTTATTCCACTGCATTGGACAATGAACATACAAACAGGAAGCCATCTAGGTACCAACGTTGATCGTGACTCGTAATTCGTTGGAAGCGCATCAATGAGACAAATTACGACCTTGGAAATGGTAGATTGGTCTGAATTCAGTTGAAACATAGCTTAAATTAACTTGAAGATGAACTCTAATATGGAATTAATACCATTGATTGGTCAGAAAAATAAAATGCGTTGAGGCCGGCGTCATGTTGTGTTCAAGGATTTACTGTCAGGTGGCTTTACGACTAAGGGTAGGTCTGAGCAGTCTGTACTCGATTAGGACAAAGAAATATATCGTAAAAGAACTACTTTACTATAGAATATTGTCCAAGCCCAGCTCGTGAAAGTGAGCTGTCAATGAGGACAGAGTCACAAGTTGCATTAAAAGTGGAGCTCACAGAGGTTTAAGACCATAAATGAGTCAGAACAGTGAGCTGTCGGGTTGGACAGAGCCTCGCATTGCGGTTCTGGATCGGCTCGTAGATAGAGTTAAACCCAGGAATTGGTCAGATTTGTAAGCTGTCATTAAGGATGGAGCCTCAGGTTGCGTTAAAAGATGAACTCACATATAGCAATTTGGCTATGAATAGGGCAGCAAGGCGAGCAATCGGGTTGGGCACAGCCGCATGTTTCATATATATATATATATATATATATATATATATATGTATATATATACATATACATATACATATATATATATATACATATATATGTGTGTGTGTGTGTTTGGTTAGGGTGCAGCTGAGTAGACAGATGTCGGATGACTTTGCAGTTATTTTTGGTATGAAGTAAGGTTGTGTCTTCGCTGCTGTCCTGCTTAACATTTATCTTCATGCAGTGATGTCTTGTGTTTTTGATGCGGCTTGTGCTTACTGTGTTCGTGTGGAGCACTGTATTAATAATGGATTGCTGAACATCCGTCGTCTCGGTACGAGAACCCTAGTCTGTAAGACAACTATCCGAATGTTGCTGTTTGACGGCTGCGCGTTGTTTGAACGCAGCACGGATGAGTTGCAACACATGACTAGTGCTCTGGCTTCGACAGCGGCCAAATTCGGGCTCACCATCAACACCAGCAAAACTATCTATCTCTCAGCCTTCACCGGAGGTGCAATCTTCAATATTGCCGCAAATCAGCATTGGTGCTGAAGTATTAGAAACCACGTCCAACTTCTGCTACCTTGGGAGTGTGATGTCGACTGACCAGCAGCTTCACAGCGAGCTTCGTATCCGCGTCTCGAAAGCAGCGGTGTGGAACAACCATCAGCTTATTGTTGGCACGAAACTAATGGTGTACAAATCCATGGTGCTGTCCGTTCTTCTATACGGCAGTGAAGTGTGGACGATGTGCCTGCGAGCGGTTTCATCAACAGTGTTTGCGACGGATTCTGCGCATCGGTTGGTGCGACAAAGTGGCGGACACGGAAGTGTTGCGCCGAAGTGGAATGTATGCAGTGGACTGCATACTTTTGCTGAGACACCTGAGGTGGCTCGGTCATGTGAGCCGTATGGATTCTACGCGGATACCGAACCAACTATTATATGGTCAGCTGAGTATTGGGAAGCGGTATGTGGGGAAACCGAAGCTTCGTTACCAAAACCTGATCAAAGTGTGGCTCTCACGTTCTAATCTTGATTGCAGGTCATCGGAACCGAAAGCGGTTGATCGGCGTGCATGGCGCGATCTGCTCACGAAGGCCGTTGCCAAGGTGCAAAAGTCCTCGTGTATGCAGAGAAGAAGCGGCAATTGCGGAAACGGCAGGCACCGATGGGTTGTACTCCATCGACAGTGAGTGCGTGGTGTTGTAGCACATGCGGTCCTGAGTGCGTGAGTCAGGCAGGCCTAGTGAGCCATGAAGGAGGCCACTCGGGGCCACCACCGAAGTGACGCGGGTCCTGAATTGAACGTAGGCAAAACCGGCGCAGCGTTTGTAGGTGCGCTGCATTCGCGTGCTTGCATGCTGAGTCTTTATTTCAGGTGGTGGGTTTGCTATATTGTTCTAATGCTTTTTATCTCATGTTAATGTCGACCTGAACTATCTTCCATAAACTTGCTCACGTCGCTTAAGCTAATTGTACTTAACTTCGAAAACATTTTCACGTTTGTGGTATTTTCTTAAAATATGTTTTCTGACCTCTTGAACTTATCGCGGAATCGTTCGTAATCATTTGTATACGCACATTTAGTGAATAGTAATGTCACCGTATCTGTATACATTATTCCATTTACTAAACTTGATATCGTCGTTTCAAGTGATTGTCTCTTGTTTGCTATCCCCAGTGTGGCTGCGCTTGATGTGCATGTTGACAACGTGCCTACCTGTCTTTTACCCACTACCTCATTCATACTGGCTCCAGGTGACAGTTGGTCGTTACCAGAGGGGATGGGGTGCTCGGTCCTTGTGACTGTTGTAGGCTCCAAGAGCGGTTCCATGCACTCAGTGTGGAGCGGACTACGGTCCAGTCACCGCCTTGCGTGCGCTTGATTCCCAAATACAGCATGCTTGTGTTTGCCTATGGAGGAGTGTGGGCCGGCTCCGTTGATGAAACATGCCTCCCGGTCTTATTCCTTCGGGTTTAAACTGGATATGGGGTGTGTGGATGGAGCTGTGAATGGTGCAGCGCAAGCCACCCATGGTCCCTCTGTAAGTACAGGCGTCCGGTGGCTGGCCACAGTGACAGGCAAATCCGAAACCGGTTGACGCCAACCATAACTATGTAATATAATGTAATCTCAGCAGTCTGGTAACTAGACACACAGCCAACAAAAAACTACGGAGATCAGCGGATAAGGGACAGTCATCGCGTCATAATCATCGTGGCTTAGTAGTTGAATGTGTGCAACGCACTTCATCTTATATGCCGCAGGAAGAAGGGAACTTTTTTGACAAAAAGTAGAACAATACCTTTTTTGTTTTTCATATGCCGATTTTTCTCTTTTTTGTCACTTTCAAAGTTTGAATTATTAAACATGTGAATCAATACAATAATGTACACAATTCTTTCACTGATTCCGGTTGCGTGCCATGTCTTCAAGAGTGCTAATCCATTGGCATTCCTCATCTTTGATTCCCCATCCTGGAAGACGTACGGATCCAACAGCGGCTAGACACGACGTCAGCGATTTCATGTGCTGCCGCCATGTAGAGGACTGACCACCACGCTGTCGCCTCCTGCCAGGTCCTTGATGCGCGAATAGAGCGCGACGCGGTAGACCCTCAGGTGCCATGCGTAGGACGTGACCGAGCCATCTCAACTGGCGCAACAAAACCAGTTTGTTGTAGGGAATACTCGGATTGCCCAAGATGCAACCTAGAACGTCATTACTATCAACTCGATGTTGCCACCAAACACGAGCGATCCTCCTTAAGCAACCGTTATCGAAGTCAGAAAGACGACGCATGCCTTCCACGCGAATCGGTCAGGACTCGCTGACATGCAACAATACTGAGCGAACTGATGCGCTGTAAACGCGGCCCTCTAGTAAGAATGAGACGTCCCGCGACGCCACAAGTGCCTCAGATTGACAAATGCTGATCGAGCTTTAGCGACGCAAAGAGAAACTTCTTTGTTGTTAGCGCCGTCAGCAGAAACACAGCTCCCAAGGTAGACGAAACTATCTACCTGTTCAAGTTGTACACCTTCGAGAGTGAGCACAGGAGCAGGTGAAAGCCAATCCTTGAGCAGTACTTTACACTTCGATGGGGCAAAGCTCATGCCATACTTGGATGCTTCAACCGTCAAACGATCCAGAATGAGTTGCATACCCTGAGGATCGTCACCAAGTAAGGCGATATCATCAGCATAATCTAAGTTGGTTGCGCGCTCATCTGGTAAAAGCTCTAGGCCAAAATGTTGGAAACCTTCTAGAGGATTCGACAGAACGTCTTTGATTTCGAAGTTGAAGAGGAATGGGGACATAGGGCAGCCCTCTCGCACACCGCTATAGACAGCAAATTGCGAGGAAAGCTTGCCATAGACCCTCACTCTGCCGGATGTATGAAGGTAAAGTGCTCATAAGATGGCGGTATATTTCTCTGGCACCCCGTTATTAAGCATGAAACGCCATGAACCAGGTTGATCAACGGGGTTAAAAGCGGCACGTATGTCTAGGAATGCAACCATAGTGGGCCTGTGATAAATGTGGCGATGTTCGAGGAGCTGGCGGAGCTTGAAGATTAGAACCACGCATCTGCGGTCAGCACGGAAACCAGCTTGTTCTTCACGTCAGTAGGATTCACGTACTGGGGATAGTCTGCGAAGCAGATCGGATGCCAATAGCTTGGAGGCAACCGAAATAAGACTAGTCCCGTGATGATTTACACATGAAGTGCGAGCGCCTTTCTTGAAAATCGGGATAATGACTGATTCGCCCCAAAATGAAGGCACTTTCTCTTCATGCCAGATCATTGCGAACAGTGCGGTTAGCTGGTTAATGATCGCCACAGCGCCGTACTTGAACAGCTCCGGAGGAAGTTCGTCTGAGCCGGCAGTCTTGAAGCGCTTCAAGCGTCGAATCTCGAGGCAGACTTCCGCTTTGCTGGGTGGATTCGGTTGGACGAGCCAGGGTGGGCAACAAGGTGTACTGCATGTACTGATGCATGGTGGAGGCCAGTTGAACTGTGAGTGAAAGTGCTCGGCCCAGCGGTCCATACGCCTCTGCTGGTTGGTGATCGGAGACTCATCCACTTCGCAGATGACCTCACTGACACCAGGCTTCCTGAGGCCAGTGGATCAAATGAGTTGGAGAAGCCTGCGAGTGTTGCCAGAGAAGGCAGCGGTCTCCATCTCTAAAGCACACTCAGACCACCATGTTTCGCGATCCTTACGTAGGGTTTGCTTGAGCAGCTGGTTGGCAGAATGGCGCCGCTCGTTGCAATCTGATTCCGCCGGTATATCTTTGCGGCGTTCGAACAGCTCCAGAGAACGAGCAGAAATCCAAGCCTTTAGGGGGCGTCGAGTTAGGCCGCAGCTTGACTATCCGGAAATGGTCATCGCTTTCCGTATACAAGTGCAGTGTTGCTCTACGTATTGCGGTGGATTGCAACTGAGTGCATATGCCAGTGACGACTGATAGCCCGCTTGGACAGAGGAATCAGTCAATCTGTTTACATCAATCTTGCGGTGCTTCGTGTTTCAGGACGCTCCAAAACACATACAGATTTTCGCGCATACCAGTGCATGATCTGAGTCAACGTAGGTGGACCAAAAGGACCTGCAGCCCAGTACGCTGCCGCGCCATCTGAAGCTAATTGCAATGTGATCAATTTGAGACCACGGTTGTGTTGGCGAAGGGGGACGCCACATTGCGGAACACTTCTTTCTACGCCTGAAGTTAGTGCTCGAGAGAACCAGGTGGTTGTCTTCGCACAATGTGAGAAGTCTCGCTCCGTTATTAGAGCGATTCTCATCGAGCGCGTGGTGACCACCAAGGTTGCGTTCGTATGGTAACATGCGGCCAACCCGTGCATTAAAACCCCCAGCAAGGATAACGACATCCGACATTTTAGCATTAGTCAAGAGCTGATGTAAATCCTGGTAGTATTCGTCCTTGACCGAGTTGCCACTGCAGTCAGTTGGAGCGTACACTTAGATCACAAGCAAGTTGCGTCTCTTTTTGCGGTGCTTGTTGATTCTACATGAACCCTGAAGCCGAACTGCACGTAGTCGGCTGTTAATCGGGAACCAGTCCAGTAGTGCCGCCTCTGCCTTGCGACTTAGTGCTATACTTACACCAGCCAGACCCGCTGAGACTGTTTCTGGATCTCCAGAAGACGCAGGTGATATCTGGCTTCGGGGTCAGTAGAGGATGTTAATGTAAGCACAGTGCTGGGGTCTTGCAATCAGATTTCTGAAAGGCAACAGACATCAATGTCCGGGGCCTCTAGGGTGCGCGCTAGACTGGTTTGCTGTCCAATCTGCATGAGTGTCCAAACGTTTAAGCACGCCAGACGGAACGAGGATCGGTGACAAAGGAGAGCCATAGGTTGAACTCCGTGGTCCGCGGCGCAACCGGAATCGCAGCCACATTGTTGAACACATGAATCGGGTAACGGAAAGTGAGGATTGTTAGCAAACAAACAATTGGCGTGTGATGAAGTCGCGTGAATATGAGAAGCAGAAACAGTACCTGATGAGTACGTTGTAGTACAGTCCATGGTTTTGTGAGAGGGCGTGATACTACCCAGTTGCCCAAGCCGAAGTAGAGAGAGAGCCTTCGGCTAAATAACCTACACGCAAGGCAGCGGGGCGAATTCACGGAATCGAGCCCATTTGGAGGCGCTGACTGAATGTTCAGTTCATGCGTCTTTGTTTGGTAGATCACCAAACAGGGGCCCAATGCTCCCGATGAAATCAGCACAATTGCTGGAATACAATGCCTCACCGAGGTGGAACATTGTCGCCGAACACTTTGCTGGAACGGTGTACACCCGAACCACCCAACTGGCGGCACGAGGTAATTCGTCAAGCCAGGCAGTACTGAACAACAAATTGGATGTTAACGAATGCTAAGCCTCAGGTGAAGTATGAAACGGACTTTAATTTTCCTGAAGCTCAGTGTTAGTTACAGCCTTTCCTCCTCTCTTTCCCCGCGATTCTTTATTCATCGCCATTTCCTTTTGTTGCATATCTAAACCTCTTCGCTTACCCATCTCTGTCAGCGCGGACTGAGTAGGTGTGTCTATGATCTCTTCATCCCAGTTGTTTTCAGCAGTGTCGGATATAATTGAAACAACTCATTAACTTTCGCCCTGCTGAGTATCATTGTTGTTGCTCGAAGAAAAATTGCGGTTTAAACTACTGCGAATCGGTAGTTTTTTTAACCTTTTCCTTCACATTGTGTTTTACTCCCCTCGTAACGTTTGACATCGTTTCTATTTCCATTTCCGACAGATATTAGTTTTCTTCGGCCCAGTTCATGTAAGTTCCTAAAGAGATTGCCTTGGCCATCTTTGTCTTTATTGATCTCGAGTAACGTATTCGGCCGCCCTTCTTCCATCCATTTACTGAATGGAAAACTTCATCAAACACTTGTAGACTTCGGAATAAGGGAACGAAACTGGGTGGAGGTCATTTTCTATCTTCTCAATCACTCTCGAAGTGCATTGGGGCCTCAATTGCCCTTAATGCAATCCATCGTAACTGAACCCAGCCAGCCGATGTGTACGCATCCGTTAAAGTACTTAACTGACATTTGAACTTTTATCGGTTCCAATAACTCGCCCTCTCGATCCGGTGATGGGTACTACCTAGGATCATGCTCTTCTGAGTCAAAGATCGAAGCCACGGGACATAGTGGATCCTTGCATCTGATGCGCATGAGTGACCTATAGATGGAACCCCCGACCTTGCAACCCAGCAAGACCCCGATCCTTCCCCGCATGTCACAGAAGCGATCATAGAGTACAGAGTTGTAACCAGCATACTCCGTATCACGAATTTAGTCACCCGGACGCTGCTCGACATTATTGTGCCTATAATTTTCGTGGTCACACTCCAAGACATCGTCAACGTCGAAGTTGAATAAGCTAAGTGATGCTTGACAACTTTGTCACATCTCTGGTGATGCTGACGGGTGCCTACACATTGAGGTTCGAGAATAAATTACTTGGAACGTGTTATCCTGCTCCTTAGTGACTCACTTTCTAGATGTGACTCCAACAAGCAATTCTGTTAGTCTATTGCAACCCAATTGGTTTGTCTACGGAACCAACAGTGATCGATAATCCAAATGTTTGACGATGCTGTCAGATGGCTTCACAGAATGTACTTGGAGCATACGACCTCCGCATACCGGCCAGTGACGATAGTGTTCACAAAGCCTGTAGTACGTCTGTTGAGGCTTCTGACAACACGTCACTGTACGCGAATGTGATATGGTGTCACGATTTTTTTGCAATTTTGCTCAGCATTCGATTAGATGACGGTTATAACATGTGTTCACTGGTGCCTCATCGTGGTTACCTGAAAATAAATATGAATATCCCATATTCCAGAAATATCCAGAGGCCCTCTCTCCTTTCCGCCAATGTTACCAACACCATACTTTGTCCCTGGTGTAGCGTTCTATATCCCTTATCCTCTGTTCCCAGTTTTCCAGCTTCAGCTTGCGTTACATCTTCGGTCCTTCTGAAGACCGACCTTCATACTTTGTTTCACGCTTTAGCTCTGCGCTTCCCTTCAATGTGGCTGACAATCTCCCAAAAATCAGGCGATAACGCAAGCATAATTGCATAAACTTGACATATCTAGTCGTCATCTAAGTGAACACTGCTCGCGTCCGTACCCATCACTTTCGCGGCTCGTTGGAACTTGTCCGATATTGTGGCTCTGCTCTGTGTTGCATATGTTGCGAACGATAACTGCTCCTGCAGCTTGCTATATCTCTCCAAGTGTGCCCACATCCTCACTTGGGTGAGCCATAATCACCCCTGACGATTCATTACAACTTTCTCGTCCCTTTGCTCCGTCAGGATGCAGGTCGGTCGCTAGTACTCGTCTCAGTGAACTGAGTGCGTACAAGCGATACCGTGACAGACCTCCACTGTCGTTGGCTGACCTATCCAGAACTAATATGTAATGGGTTATGCTCACGAAAGTCGATGCTTTGATTGGCTATTGGTGGGCTAACTCACTGGCATCGACATTGTACTTCAGACCCCTGACAGTCTATGGCCAGCATAGCAGAGGGTGTGGTTTTATTGGCTGAAATTCTATCCCGATGCCCTCAATCGTTGTGGGAAATCATGCCTCGGATATGAGATACTCGTCAGCTTCTTGAGTATGGTGTAATTGTGTGACATGCTTCTATCGCTCATCACGATGTTCTGCATGGTATCAGTATGTGGTGCTCTTCCTACTTTTTGTGTTTTTCGCTGCATCTTTTGGGCTTCGGCTTTGCAACACGTCACTTTCATTTTCCACTCTCACTATTCTAACTTTGTCGCTGTGCGTACGCTTTGAGGGAACGTAGATTTTACCACTAACGGTTCTCTCTTCATCCTAGCTCGTGGATTCCGCCGAACTTCCCGAACGCCTACGGAGCACGCTGAAACGCATTCGAGAACGACTTATTGCATCTAATGATCATCCATCTGTCATCAAGGGAGTGAGTAGAGTTGATTTTTATTGTCCCAGCGATTGAGCTGTGTTGTGTAGCGATTTTCTAGTGTGTTAACCCATGCTTTATCGGATGACTATGCAAAATGACGATGAATAAGAGCACTACTTCGATCCAGACTCTCGAACAGACCTAGCCTGCAATCTTAGTGCTAACTGAGCAACACCGCACTTTTTCACAGTTTCGTCATACTATATAGATACTAGATCGTGGATTTACTCGCAAGTGGATCCACGGTCCATCACTCATAACATATTTGTTGACCCAACTGGGTAAATTACATTCAATTTTTTAAAGGCTTCCCATATTTAATCAGTTGGATAGATAAACGGATATTTTTCCAATCAGAAATTTGAAAAGTACGGTAGGGAGACAAAAACTGGCAGATGCGTGCATTTTGTAGTATCTCCTCGGCACTATTAACAACAAGCGATACGCATAAATGTACCTAACATTTGGTGCACCAGACAAGTTTAAGGTGCAAATCGATTGACTAGAGTTCACTCCTGTGTCCTTGGCAGCCTTAAACTGACAGATAATTGTTTTTGAACCCGCAGGGCTGGTTTCATCCGGTTACTTCGGCAGTTTTCGCGAATTCTGGTGATGTGTACGCTGATACGAGTTGATTCCGGTGACTCGTGACCGGTAGGTGTTTACCTATTGCGGAAGCTGATGGTCTGTGCGGACACGAAGGCTCTTGGGGGGGGGGGGGGGGAGGGATGTTGGTCAGTTTCACGTTGAACCTATTTTTGCACATGTTCCCGTATTCGAGAAGCCAAAGACCTATCGGTTTTTCCTATATATTTGACTCCGCAGTATATACATTCCTTCGTTGGAGTTACCGGCTGATGGCAACTTGAGCAGCGTTGCAATTTCTCTGCGTGACAGATATTACTCGCTTAGGTGTCCTCAACATGGTGAAATCACCTTTGAAAGGTAATTCGATGTAAACCTTTTTCCTGGCTGCTCTATGGAACAAGTCCTTCACTCTTCCCTGTTGGCTGTTTATAAATCTGCGAAGATAACCATTCGCCATGAGTTTAGTTGTGAAGAACTCTAGCTCATCGGCCAGGTAATCAGCCTAGCGAGTCAGTCTGGCACGACTAACTAAGATCTTCACAAGTGTCCGTTTGTGCCACACTGGCGTGAAGCTGGTGAAGTGAAGGTATTGGTCGGACCTCTTTGCTTTTCTGTAGACAGACCTCTTAAGAAGTCCGTCATCTTTGCAACTAATAAGTATGTCCAGGAATGGCAGGCAATTCTTCTGTTCCATTTCACAGGTGACCCGCAAGTTGGCATGTGCGCCGTTAAGCCGCTCTACCAACTGCACGATCTGCTCCTCCAACGAACAAAAAGCCAGTATGTCATCCACATAGCGCTTATAGTATGGCAGCTCGGTTATTTATGTAGATATGCCTCTTTCTATCATCAGCATGAAGTAATCTGCGAGTACATGACCTAGTGGGCTGTCCATTGCCACTCAATCGATTTGAAAATGAAAGCTAACACTTTCCGTACACAACAGCAAGGAGCCCTTTAGAAAATCGACTGGAATTGATAACGATATGCCCGTGTCAAGCTTGTTCAGAGATGCAAACAACAGTCTGGTGCAGTGGGATGTTAGTGAACAACTATTTCACATCTAACGAACACGACCTTGTCAGATAGGTTGGTTTTATCCTAACGAAAAGAGTCATCTATAACATTGTCTTGACTCCGATGACTCCATGGGGTACTTGTCAATCCGCTATTAGTTAAACTTTTCCTTATCCAACAGTTCAAATACATGGTGTATTCTCATTTTACGGTGTAACGAGAGGAGTGTCCCCAAGTATTATTGATTTCCGTTTAAGTCGCCTGCTGTGTGCATGAATTACCATCTCAAATTCGGTCATTTCTGCTCGAAACTGGTCGTGCTCATAGTTTGGAACGGGCAACGTAAGACATTCATTTGCTCTCCCAAAGTACTTTCTTTGGGAACCTCCACTGGAGCTTATTTAACTGTTGTTCTGCTCTCTTCGCGATTAACCACGCACACCCAAAAGCGAATGCATGAGATACGTTCCTGACGCCTCGCTTCCTGGAACAGTACCGTTCATCTCCCTCTGCGGCATCATCTTCTCACGTCGTCCGGTCGTGATTGCCGTTTCTCGTGGCCACATCCCCCTTTTCACTGTCCGCATGTTTTCATCTTTGTGCCTACTTTCCAAGGGTGTGTTGAGCTGGCATCCTTTAGACCCATGATGCACTCCACACAAACGGTGACTAGCGTTCATACAGACACTGGCAAAAAGTTGCGGTTCAGTGGTAGCGTTAAAGTGGGACTTCAACGCGGAGTAGCTCTCGTTTTAGCATTCTACTGACCTGGATGATAGACGTTCTAATTGAATCGAGGACATTGGGCTTAGGTGTTTGATGCAATCGGGAGTGTGAACGATCATAATCATCCTTCTAGACAACAGCCCACCGAGTCTCTGTATCGCTCACTTCACCTTTTGCATAAAACAAACCGTCGCCTTAATAAGTACTGCCATTTAGCTTTTCAGACATACTAAGTTTGTCATTCTTTGCTTTTATGTTGTATGCACTCACCAATATGGAGTTGTATGGTATAAACGTTGTTTGTTCCTGTAGGTTGCGCTGCGTTCCCGTTTGCTCCCGTCTACTCTTATAGATGACTGTATGAGCAGTAAAAAGAACCGAAATTTGAGCATGTTATCGATGAACCTCTCAGAAGCAACAGCACGAACGTACTTACAATGGCGCTTGTCGTTCAGGAAGCCGCTTTGGGCTATGCTGTACGCTTCCGAAAACAGCCACTAATATATCATTGGTAACGCTTTCAAAAAAAACTTTGATAGTCTGCACTATGAGCCATTCAGTTTCCGCTAGAGTGGGCAGATCGTGAACACTACACACAATGTTATGCACTAATCACAGTCACTGTAAACGTCGTTAAAATGCCACTAGAGTTACCCCACAACTTTCAGAAACTTTTTGCTTCTCTCATCGAACTAGGGCAAATGATATGCTTGGTTCCATTCCAAGCCGTTTCGTTTGAGGTATGTCACTGATTCATCGGCTTCGAGTACCGCAACCAGCATTGCTTGACGTGCGCCATCCGCGAACGCATCGCCGCTGTCATTACGCTTTGCATGCGATTTTCTTTCATGGCTTTGCGCGCAGCCATTCTTCCCTCTATTCTCCTCTTTGCTCTCACCTGTATACTCCCTCCTTCGCCTCTCACTGCATCCTAACAGGACCGGTTCGCTTTGCCTGCACACGAACCAATGCGTGTGTTCCAATCGGTCAGTCGTTTCTGGGAAACGGTGTCAGACCCAACATCCAGCGGAACGCCACCCTTGTGGCAAATGTATCTACAGGCGCATTTCGTCGGAGTGGAATCGGTCAATTGCTTGGCGGAAATGTTGGAACAGGTTCGTCTTACTCGATACACTACTCCTCTTGATATCTTTTTCATCTGCTGGCCATACAGACTCTAGCTCTAAACGAGCACGGTGTTTCTGACGAGGTAGCTTCAAGAGGCGCGCCACACATGCTACACATCCATAATGATTTTATTTTAAAATCTGTAATTATTGTCTTCCTCTCTTTCGATATCACGCAATAGTCTTTATGATAACCATCCATGTTTAATCGTCCTTTTGTAACTTACAAGGCGAACAACGAATCAATCTATGGCCACTCCGTTGTCTTTTGGTGCTGCGGCGGCTATCGTGGTATTTGATTTCAAAAATTTCACTACCCTTAGCCAGGCGCACTATGTATGGATTACCCTCACAAGAGCGTTCACTGGCAGTATGGTTCTTCTATCTTTGTTTCTTTTTTATCTACAAATGTGCCCATTAGAAGGATTGTCGTTAGCTTTGTTGCAAAGCCAGTCACCCGTGTGGTCTTGCTTACTTGCCAACGTCGTAAACCCGTCACCGCCTCATTTGGTTTCGCGTACACTGGGTGCATAATTTTCTCCTTTGAGATGGGGACATCTGGAATCTGTCATCCCAGATGTGACACTCCATCACTAGTATCTTCCCTGTTGTTGGCCCGTAGCCTAAAGGATCACAAGCCTGCCTTTTAATCCGAGAGCGCGGCTTCCAGCTTGCTTAGGGACCAGGCGACCCTCGCAGTATCGTTAGCCCACGTGCGAGTTGTGGTGGTTGCGCGGCAGCGAAGCTTCGTTACTGCGTGCCAGAATACTGCTTGCGCCTTTCTTCCCCTTTCCGTTCTCCCAATGTAAATGTCTCGATTCTGATTCGCTCTGGTAATCTGACGGCTACTAGCCTAGCAACTTCAACACTTGAGATCCACCTTGTCGCAGAACTCGGTCCTTCAGGGACAAACGGTTTGACAAAGCGAGCTCAGCAAAAATGACAGTCTGACAAGCATGTAGAAACCTCTATGTCAATAACGAACTCATTTCCATAACTAACGACGCTGTTGCACTCATGAGATTCTTCCTTTGAATCAGTTAAACAAACCACCTCCAGCTGACCAATCATCGCATAGACGAAATATGCGTAGCTGTCCAAGTGCTCTTTTCACTTGCGGCACGCTAGCTGCTTGCTTCGCCAAGTAAATCGTATCGTCCTTCTTCTTGCACAATCCCATCACACACATTATACTCTGCAGAGAATGCTGTTATGTCGGCTTAAAATTCACTAGCATTTGTTAGTTTGTTGTTTGAGTCGGCTACCGCCTGTAGAATTCTTATTTCGAATGAACATGGCCATTCTGTCCTGGACAAGCACTGTTTGCCTCAACCTAAAACATGGCCCCAAGAGGACTCTGTGTACCGTGATCGAACCACAGGACAGATATTCCTATCCAAGGATTGCTACAGACCAGTGAATTGTTCCTATCCAAAATGCTGGAAACGAAGTTAAATGTGGCACTAAATGCAGTATTTTCACCACAGTTTCTTCATAGTAAGTGACATTCAGCGGTACCAAATACAACCTCCGTCCATCTCATTCATCCTCATTACATTTTGTATTAGTGCTTCGCTGTCACAACGAAGCTGTGTGAAAGTAAGCATGGAGTAGGGCGACCTAATAGAGAACGCTCTAAACAAACTCTCAGGATCGAGGTACCAGCACTTCATCCACAACGCTCTGTTACAAACAACTGTTGTGTGAATAACATAAGCAGGCGATGGTAAGACAGCTTTATTGTTGTTTCCACTGTCTCGCGTCGTGCTCAAACTTACAGCTACTCCGTCTCATTTGTAATTAAAACAAGAGGCTGCAACAAACACCCCACTTATACTTGTTGCTACCCATATTTTGTTGTCTTGAACTAGTTACCTGTTGGTCGCATGGATCTCGCCCTGGGAGAAAAGACGGATCAACTACAGCCACTTTAGTCACCAGTGACTTCGTTCCCTCCGACTAAGCTCTCGAGTTTTGCGATTAAAGCAAGGCGGTTCTCGCCGAACGATGCCAAACAGGCACACATAGCACCTACCCAAGCTAACACAATCTGTTCCATCTTATTTGCTAGTCTGTGTAACGGCCATCTCATTAACCGTTATCTTTGCAAGGTTCTGTAAAAACAGTTATATCCCTCATAGCTGTATCCTCTCCTTACCCCTCCAAAGCGCTGAATCTTTCCTCAGGAATCATAATACTGCGTATTAGGTAGCCAAGGTCGTACACCACGGCATCTGCACCTGAGATAAATTCGCTAGTTATCTGCGTTGAGTTAGAGGTTTCAGGCTTTGAGTATGACGGACTTGTTTGTGCAGCGTGGGGATTAGTTCCTTCACAATATAAATAGACCAATTTATACGGACCATTTTGCAAGAAGGGGACTGTTCCATCCAACTGATGCGCCAATAATTGCATCGATATTGAAAAATGATAACCACAGATAGTGCAAAACTATCTGGCCACCGCTGTCGTTTGCCGCTTCACGGTGGAACTGGAATTCCGAGTGAGAAGAAAGGTATTGTATTTTCCAGTTCAATAGCGTCGCTCAGTACTAGTGGACGCATTTTCAAATATAAGCGAACCACAAACATGACAGAGTTAGCATCAAGTTTCCTGTTAAACTGAAGAAACTTTCGACGGAGACTTCAATTACCGCCTGAGGTCTACAATGAAAATTGCACGTCTCGTGCACGCGTTTTTAAATCGCACAAACTATTTCCGGAAGGCAGACAAAGCGTGACGGGTTATGATCACCCACGCCCGTCTACAATAGCATTGAAATAATGCGAGACGTGATTCAAAAAAGGTAGATGGTTGGATTTTTGACCAATAGTTGAGAAAGTCATTTGAAGTCTTGGTGAAATTGCGTGGAAGTGTGAGGAGAAAACGACCGGAATTATGAGGAAATGGGTGGACTTTGCACCAATACCAAACGCCAGTCCATAACGCTTTTACTTCGAAGCAGTTTTTGTCCCCCTATTTGCCAGACCTCGCTCCCTGCGACCTCCCAAAAATAAAGTTGTTGCTCATGGAAACCCATTTTTTGTCGGTAGACGTAAAAGCAAAAAACGAGAGAGATCGTCGATGGCCTCGTAGAGCATGACCAGTGGAATTACTATGTGTTGGCAGCATCATTTGCAACTGTGTCAACTCAAAAGGGTGCTATTTTGGATGTGATCATAGTTGCTTTTCAGAATTCATTAAATAGGAAAACTTACGGGCATGGTCTCGTTTTCTTGTCTCCAACCGTGTACTAGCTCAGAAAAGGTTTGTCGCTAACTAAACATTTGACCTACCCTGTACTTGAAAACCATGCCGAACTCTGGAAGCTTGTATTGCTCCTTTTCCCTCTTTTTTGCTCAATCTTATCGTCATCTCCATCATAGTTTTCCCTTGTGATATGCATGAATTGAGGCGCTATCTTAAGGAAAGCTGCTCGATCCGGACTGGTCAAACGATACCGTGTTACTGTTTAAGGGTCGCTAGCCGGCACAGTCAATCTTTCGTAGCGTAAAGTGATGTCGCAGGACCACCTGCTGTTTATCATATAGCTCTTCACGACGAGGATCCGGAGACCTTTTGCTACCGAAATGTGACTATTAAAGTTAGCTGACATTTGGTGCAAAGATGCACCTGAGCAGCCTTTGGTATATACCGCTTTGGTTTATAGGCCATGTATACAAGACCACAGTGAGGGCCGTTCTTCACTAAGCCATTTAAACAGCCGCTTCGGTGCGTTAATCTTATGTTCTTTCAAATCTTCGGTCATCGTTGTATACGGTCAGTTGCTTGTCTGGTTAGTACCAGCGTTGCTACTGCGATGAGCAAACGAGACTACCGGCTGATAGTGATCAGGTTAGCTTCTTAGATCTCATTGGATAATATGTCGCCCCAGCGCGAACGTGAAACATATGCCCGCCTAATGATACATGAAGTCACTAGTGAATATGCTAGGTCTTTTTCGTCTGTTTTGCCTTCAGGGCTATAGTCTACCCGACTCATCCCGTTACTGGATCTACAGCTCACCGAGCATGACTTGCTACTGGTATCAACTGCATGCTTGTCGTGTATAATGCTGAGTTCTCGGCTCAGTATTGCCGGCCATGACACGGAGTTGCGAAGCTTCAAGCTATCTTGTCGATATGACCTTACCTCAGCACGATGATCGTGACCGTCCGTTGCTCGTAAGATGTAACTGCCCGAATCCGGAATGTTTACTCAAGAAATCTGAGTTTTTTCCTCTAACAGCATCTAGCAGCATCATCGTACAACTTGTGGTTGTGTGGCACCAGAATGTTAGCAGCGATCTGACACTTTTGCTGACGAGTGAGTCAGTGTGAATGTCACACAATTCGGTGCTAGCGTCCACTTGTGGCGCTCCAGAGCCATTTTAATCCGGTGTCGTTACCAGATGGTACCACAGTGCCAAATTCTGACGGGTCCACTTTGGACTACACGTTGTGTGATTAGATTGCGACGCGCAATCTCAAGGTGGACCGCGATTCCCATTGTAGTGAACCTTGGTCACTGCGATCACTGGGACTGTAGTCGAAGCAGATGGAAATTGGTGTTGCCCGCCCGAAAACACTGCACAACCACGACGCGTTTCGATGTCATTTCATCTCATCAGGTGGAGATAGCAGGCCTCGAACCCGTGACCATTGGAATAGTAGCCGAAACCTCTACTCCTTTGGCTACCGGGTCACGGCAGGCAACCCTTGGCACAACGGTGGAGGACCCAATTTCCATCTGCTTTTGTTGTGATTGTTCTACGCACGGTCAAGAGCACCGCTGACACCTCAGACTTGGCACACCGTGATTGCGAGTGGGGCCTACTCACTATGGTTGCATTAGCCAACTCCGGCCGGTGGTTGGAGTGCTTTCGTCGAAGAATATCACGAACATTTGAGCCGAATTTAATTTACCTTAATGCGACTGATACTCATGGAATATCGTTTCGATTCATCCAACAGACATAACAGTCATTCGCGGTATCGTTTCTGCCATCTGTATGGTCTGATTTTAGGCCAGGTGAACTCCCAGCATTCGCTATGCCCTCCCACCCACACGTTCCAAGCAGCTGAACATCGCCTGGTTTGATGAGCTGATCTCGACGACCCTGTCAGCTAAAATGGCAATGCATAACTAAGGGCTTACAGCTTTCTTTCGTCTGACTCGAGATTCTCACTAAGTACTTTCATTCAGTTTCGTGTGGCGTGCACATTTTCACCCAGTACTTGCGGATCGACTGGTCAGACGTGTAATAATAATAATAATGACAATGTGTCAGCTGTACGCCGGAACGGCGCTTCGCCGTGCGACCACCACCAGTCGCACGCGGGCTGAGTATACCGAGAGGACACCCACCCCTACGCTGATTCAAACCCGGGTTTATGGCAAACTCTCGCCACCCTTCAGTATCACCAGCGGTGTGAGAAAAGGATGCCCGCTGTCATCTTCCCTCTTCAACTTTGCTATTGATGAAGTCATGGAAAGAGCGTTCGCTGGACACGACCTAGAAGGTGTGGAGCTACTTCCTGTTGAGCGACTTCTTGACTTGGAGTATGCGGACGATATTACCATAATCTGTGACAGCTCCCAAACACGCCAAACAGCACTGAACCGATTAGCACTGGCTATGCTTTGCTCCATCGAAATGCAAAGTACTTGCCCAAGATCGGCAGGGACCCAACCCTGCGCTAACGCTTTGTGGTGATCTGCTAGAAGTCCCTCAGGAATTCAAGTACCTGGGCAGCTATATTAGCACCCGTGGGATTGAAGATGAGGTTACGAACCGTATAGCAAAAGCTCGAGGTGCTTTTGCCAATCGCCGCCACCTGTGATTCGAACCCGCGACGCAAGATTACGAGACAAGCTCGTTACCCCTAGGTTACGGGCCGACGTGTAGGCAACATGAGTCATCCAAACCCATCGTAATCTTATGACTGAGGATGACCGTGCCACAATGGAATCCAACCCACACATTCTGTTTAATCCCATGATGTTTATCTTTAGACACAATCTCTTTCGCCCCTTCACGTCAGACATTGCTCCCTCACTTATCCAATCTTCTACCGGAACGCAAACGCGGACTTACTTCGGTGTTCCGCGAGCAATCACTCATGGCTGCCCGACAGCTCCGAGAACCATGCGCTGCCCATATTGCTCCGCAACTCCTCAGCCTCCTCGTGCCTTCCGGGTAAGTGCTAAGATGCGATATTCACCACACTGCGGCACATAACGCTGAGGATATGCTCCGTGGAGGTATTCTTTTGTCTAAATTTTTAAACTTCAATTCAATGGACCACTGCTTTGCAACTGAACTTCTTAGTGGTTTCGCAGTATCAGCTAATGACAGGGTTACGCTGTTTGGGATGATCCGGGTAGAACACGCTATTCTTGGAGTCCGCTAGAAGATGTGATCGTTTATCAAGCGCATTAGTTACTAGCAAGAGTTCAACAACAACCCTGTCTGACACACCGCTTTCTTAAAGCGCATTCTGTAAAGGACCAACTGACCACTTCCAACAATCCGAGTTTCTTAAGTAGCATCATATTATCCTCAGTAAAATGTTATTATGGCTACCAACCGATGGTGAACTGTTTCCAGACATGTTTGTACCAATGTAAGCTGTCATATTTGCGCACATCCTGAAACAAAATAGCCGCAGCTACGATTTTCTAGTACACGATATGCAGCCTCGTCGCCACTAGCTGTCAGATTATTTTGAGGACAAATCGAGAGAACCCTCGGTTACATTTGTTGATGGGCTTTTACCTCTCATGTTGCCATCCTGAGGTTTATGCCCATGCCAGCACCACATCTGGACTATGCTCAAGGAAATCCACTGAACCAGATTCATTAACACCTTGGGCAGCTTCCGGAACGGACCTTGGAGCACACATTTTCTTTCACGCTCGTATGACACGAGGGAATATGTTCGTCCATTTAGCTCCATACTAGGAATTAGACTCTAACCGCGTACTCCGCGAGCGCTTTGCACTTGCATAGGTACCGTCACTCACTTTGCTCCTCATACGATGTTGAATACTGTCTAGTTTTGCCACCCCACACGTGGCCACATGTAATAATGGAGATTGATGGCTTGTCGACCGGTCGTGGACAAAATTGATTATTTCTCAGAAACATCATGCATGGAACCAAGAACACCACGTCCGTCCAATCGTGAGCCGCATATAGTGGTCATAAATGCAAGATCTCGTGGTTATCTAATGAACTGTCGGACAATAGAATCCGCGGCTCTGTTTGAACGAATATCACATTTTCCGCGTTCATAATGACCAGCTCTGGACCATCTTGAGCCCTCGGTGGGAATGTTACGCTACCGCATTGTTCTCCTCACTTATCACCATACCTGTCTCCTTTCCAGTAGTGGACACAAGTTTTTGCTTGAACCATGCACGTGATTCTAGCTGAAGTCGAATCGAATACTCCACTCATTATCATCGCGGTGTTCTTCTAAAGCCTTTGAAATGCGTTCATTTTTTGTCCATCGTAGCCCTCCCGTTTCTCCTGGTACTCCCCAATCGGTCAATGCTTCCACGACCATCGCTTCCAGTTTGAGCAAAATTTGGCCAATCGGTTCCAACAATGTCTCCTCCTCCTCCATAGACAAAGAGTCTAACAAGCTAGGCGGCTCGTCTCCCATTCCCAATGCCAAAATGGACCCCGACTTTGACAGCAATGTGTTTGCGTCTCACGTGGCTTCCGTGCAGTGGACAACCAACGAGGTGGCCACCCGCCCCAGTCCTTACGTGAATCAGCTACGTGTGTCTGTGCTAGGTCCATTCAACACCGCCCTGCACACACTAACTCGTCGACTAGGGATAAGTGACACGTGTCGATCGGTGATGTGGAGCGCCCTACTCAACTGCATTGGCTCCTCGTTGTTGAACGCATTCGCGGAGATCCACCTGTGCTCCGAAGAGGGCAGGGGGCAAATGCTGTTGGATGTGCAATCGATTGCTGTATTCGCCGAGGCGGATAGCAAAATGCAGTAAGTAATCTCTCTTCACACTCAATATGTTCGTACTCTTTATTCCCTAACCGTCAAATCTATTGTTTAGCAATTGCATACTGCACCCTCATTCGAGTCTATTAAACTCGCGGATTTTGAATCATTTTCGTGTTGCTTGGGTTCCCTGTAAATGGTATGTGGAAGTTGTTATGGCGCATATCACCGCCCCATAGTGGCTTGTCTGCGAGCAACTCTGTGCAGTTCAGCGACAGTGTTCGCGCTCCACCTCACTAACCCCAGAAACCCCTATGGCTCCCGACTCGACCAGAGATGACCACCGAAAAATTCATTGTTGGTCCGGATTGATGTCGTGCTTCGCAATCAAAGCACACGGTTGTTACTGTAAATCCGTCAATGAATCCTTAGTCATTGTCGCTTGCGGAGCCTGATACTCTTTTTGTCAGTGTCAAGCGGCGACCACGATTTCCTCGGCTTGGTTCTTGATTTGCATTCCCACTTGAAAAGTCTAAACAAGCGTTAGATCGATCATGTAATGGTTTTGGCGGCAAACGTCGGTAGGTGTTCAGAAGCACCATTTTGTCACAATAGGACTTGTCGGTAGTAGGTGCTCCGATACTTCATCCAATGTCTCCCACTAAAGCAGTGCCGCTGATCAAGTCTGGTTGTAAGCACGCTTCCGATAGTCTCCCTCATCTCTTTTAGTAGACCATATGTTTGGAATAGATTCGGTCGTAATTTATCTTCAAAAGGCGGTTGTTAAACAACCTCAACTTGTACTCTGAACGCCTCCTGTTCAATCAACATCCCTTCAAGGCTCTCATTTGGATATCTGCTTGAATCGGAACAAGTCGATGGTTTTATCGCCCCACTCAAACAGAAATAAGACGAAGAGCATCCTGTTGTCATTTTCCCCATGTGATGCCTTAGTGGTTATGATCGACAAGCGATCCGTTCAACGCGAGTGTCCGACCTCTCAACTTTTCCACCAATCACTAACAAGTTGCTTGGAAACTCCAAGGCAATCGCCTAGCACACTCGAGACCATCGCAACGAGACTGGACCTTAACGTGGTGCGATGGTTTGTGTACCCCTGTGACCCATTGAGCTACGCTGGGTGGCACTTTCAAGTGCCTTCAGAGCCACTCATACCAGACAGGTCAATGGTTAGGGGTCAGACTAACTCAGTCTCACAATCGCCCCGCTGCCTTGTGGGCAGGCTATTTAGCCAAAGGCTCGGGGTGGAGTACCCTAAGAAAACTCGGCTTTGGTAGCCGGGTAATATCATGCCCACTGACAAAACCATGAACTGTTCAACTGCAATATCACTCCCAGTTGAGTTTGCTCCTGCTAGTCACTCACCTCCACACGCCACCTGTTCATTTATTATCAATCAGTATTATCCGTTACCAGATGATTCTTGTTTCCATGATTCTACTCCGAATGGTTTCGTTGACACCCAGAGAGCTCACCCAATCGCATTCCTTCGGCCTCGGTCTTCGTTCTGTTTGACATGCTTCAATGTACCTACACTCATGCAGATCGGGCAGCATGCTGGTCTTGCGCGCACCCTGGAATCCCTCGCCATCGATGTGTGCTGTCTTTCCGAAACGCGCTTACAAGATCCCAGTACTGTGATTGAGTTGAGATCTCCCACCGACCACGGAGTCATATTTCACCTACGTCTATCTGGTGACACAGAAGCAGCTGCGGCAGACTTGGCTGGCGTTGGTGTAGCGCTAAGTAGCAAAACCGAGACCGCAATGCTGGACTGGTTCCCGATTAATAGCCGACTAGGTGTAGTTCTACTTCGGGGATCATGCCGTGAGGAGAGACGCAACTTGTTTGTGATCTCGGCTTACGCTCCCACTGACTGCAGTTCTGACCCCGTCAAGGACGTTTTCTACCAGGAACTTCATCAGCTCTTGAGAAGAGCTTGCAAATCCGACTTTGTTGTACTTGCTAAGGATCGTAACGCACGGGTCGGTCGTCTGCTGGCATGCGAAAGTCACCTCCGTGGTCACCATGCGCTCGATGAGAGCCGCTCAGATAATGGAGACTTCTCACACTGTGCGAAGTTAATCATCTTTTTCTCTCGAACACCAACTTTCGGCATTCGAGACGTTCCGCTACTTGGCGACCCCCTTTTGCGTCTTAATCATCGTCTCAGATTGATCATATCGCAATCAATTTCATATGGAGGGGTAGTGTAAAGGATTGCAGACCCATCTGATCCACTTTTCTTGACTCAGATCATGCTCTTGTCTGTGCGAACATCTGCATGAGTTTCAGAGGGTCCCCGAAAATGAAGCACTGTAAGATAGACACAAATAAACTATCTACTGTTTCGGTTCAGCAGTTATCAAGCTTCCCTGACAGGTGCACTCAGCTGCGACCCAAGATATTGATGAACACTGGAATTGCACGCAGAAGACTATGATCTCTTCCGGACAGCAAGTCTGTGATCTTACTCAGCACAATATGAAGGCCTGGATCTCCACGCACTCTTTGGATTTATTTGACCGCCGCAGAAATATCCCAGCGGAGTCTAATCATAATGAAGTGCGCCGTTCTGTCATTCGGCAGCTCAAACAAAGCCTACGCAGTGACCGTAAAGCCTGGTAGTCCCAGCGTGCTTTGGAAATGGAGGCCGCTGCCCTCTGGCAATACTCGCAAACTTTCCCAGCTCATTTGATCCAGTGGCCACAGAAAGCCTGGTGTCAGTGAGACTATATGCGAAGCGGATGGTTCGCCGATTGCCAACTTACAGACAACTGGACCCATGGGCCGAACATTTTCATTCCCAGTTCAATTGGTCCCTGTGAACCGAGATGCCCGCCCTCGGTCGTCACACTTGATCCACCCAGCGAAGCGGAAGTTGGTCTTGCGATTCGATACCTAAGACGATTCAAGGCTGCCGGCTCAGAAGGAATTCCTCCGAATCTGTTCAAATATGGAGGCTCAGTTATCATTAGCCAGCTAAGCTCATTGTTCTCCAAAATATGGCATAAAGAAAAGGTGCCTTCTTCCTGGGGCGAGTCAGTTGTCCCGGTTTTTAAGAAGGGTGCTCGCATTTCGTGTACCAATCACCGGGGGGATTAATCTCATTTCGGTTGCCTCCAAGCTATTGGTATCCATTCTACTCCGTAGACTATCTCCCTTTCGCGAATCGCAGTACCGGGAAGAACAAGCTTGCTTACGACCTGGACGCGGGTATGTGGATCAGATATGTACACTCCGTCAAATCCTGGAATGCCGCCATCTTTACCAGAGGCCAACCATCGTTGCATTCCTAGACATCCTTGCCGCATTCGACTCGGTTGGTCAACCTACATTATGGCGCTGTTTGCTAAGAAACGGTGTCCCAGCAAAGTACACTGCCATCCTACGCCCACTGTATTTCCACATCTCGTGCAGAGTGAGGGTGTATGGAGGGCTTTCGTGGTCCTTCCCTGTCAATAGCGGTGTACGACAAGACTGCCTTATGTCCCCGTTCCTCTTCAATTTTGCGATTGACGTCCTGTCGAGGGCTCTAGAAGGTTACCAAAATTCTGGTATACAACTATTACTGGGTAAGCGAGCAACCGACTTAGATTATGTCGATGATATCGCCCTACATGGTGAGGACTCACAGAGCATGCAAACCAGTCTAGACCGCTTGGCGATTGAGGCGTCTAGGTACGGAATGTGCTTTGCCCCATCAAAGTGTAAAATGCTGCTTCGGGATTGGCACTCAACCGTACTCGTGCTCACTAATGTAGGTACACAGCTTGAACATTGGATAACTTTGTCTACCGGGACAGCTGTGTGTCTGCTGGTGCAAAGGAAGTTACTCTTCGCATCGCCTAAGCTCGGTCGACATTTGTCAATCTGTAACAGTTGTGGCCTCGTCGGGATATCTCTCCCTTGGTAAAGGGTCGTGTTTACAATGCCACCGTTCGGGTGGTGTTTCTGTATGGAAGCGAGTCATGGCCAGTTCGCGTAGACGACATGCGTCATCTCTCGGCCTTCGACAACGGGTGCTTGATGAGGATTGCTCGTGTGTGGTGGCAACAACACATCTGCAATGAGGAAGTCAGACGTCGTGTTTTGGGGAATGTGAGTATTCCCTGCAGCAGACTGGTTTTGCTGCGCCAGTTGAGATGGCTATGTCACGTCCTACCTATGTCAGCTGAGCGTTTGCCCTATCGCGCTCTGTTTGCTCGTGCAGGACCACGCGGTGGTCCCCCATACACATTGCAACAGTAAATGAAATCGTTGACTTCACGTCTTGCCACCATTGGATCCACACGTCTGCATTGTTGGGGACCAAAGGACAAGGAGCGCAGACGGATGGAAACAATTCAGGATATGGCTCGTATCAGAAACCAGTGGAGGATCTGTGTATATAACTGCTTGGATTTGGATACCTAATGCTTAACGATTGAAAAAGACAAACAACAAAGATAAAAGACGTGTACAAAATAACAAAAAATGCTACCTAATTTATTGTGGCACAATAGCTAGTGTGTTGCTCACCTTCGATTAATGTGCCATGATACTGATACGGTGTTCAGCCTGTCTTCTTTTAGTGAGTTCCATGGTTATGCTTGGCTCTATGTCCATTTGATAGACTGCTGACTATACTGCTATACTAGTACTCGAGAGCAGCACAGTCTCCCAAATGTTCTTTGGTCCACGTCATGTGGTCAGTTTTAGTATTCGCAGACCACTGGACTAATCCGATGTACCACCGGCGAAGTGTTTATCTAATCTTGCACGTCTATCTCTTAGCTCGTAAATGGGCCGTTTCTTTATAGATTGATATATCCCTTATTAACTCATTTCTTGTAGATCATTTCCCAGACTAGATCACGTGATTGAATACATTCAGGCGTTCTACATTCCGGCACACGAATGGGAGCACTGGCTCGCTCACACGGGAACCAAGTATTCCCGCGCACAACTCACTGGTCTCGCGCACTGTCTTGCCAGGGGAGACAGACGGCAAAGACAGCGTCTCCTGAACTCTATAACACAGATCCACGGCTCGGGTGGAACGCAGACGGTTCAGACAAACGGTACCAACACCACACCGATATGAAAGTGTTGTGTATATTCACTATGTGCTGTGATCTCGTCATCTTTCTCTTGACTTTTTTGCACATGTATCATTCTTTATAAGGCTTTTACAAAGAAAAGCGCACATTTTTATGATAAAGACATTTTATAGTTCACATAAGGAATGTGGTCGCAGTTAGTGACACGGAGGAAACATTGTGATAGAGTCCATTCGTCATATCGGAGAAGCGACCAGCTGTACAATAAATCGTAGTAGGGAGCTAGGAGTTGGAGGCTTGGAACTTGAGCATTTCAGCCCGAAATGCAGATTGGTTACTCCATAACTGGGCCGCTTGTCCGTTCAGTGGGCTGTCATTGTTGGGTTCTATAAAAGGAGCACAAAGGATAAACGTCATAAGATCGATTCGGACCAATTATTACGTGTTGCCTCGATGAACAAGTTGCAATCCACTATCATCGGTAGTCAGTCACACAACAAACTCGGAGAACAATCGGATCGGCCTTGCAAGTCTTAGCGGTAGCGTGAATATTCCCAGGACCTGAGACAGAAGCTATGATCACCGAGCCACAGAAAGCGGTAGCAGTCAGTGTATGGCCAGATAACTGATTGCGACACACTGTGTGTGACCCATCTTCCATGACTATGCACGACGCCGATTATCTGTACAGAGGTGAAAGAGACGTGTACTGTAGTCTCAAATGCGCCCCCCCCTTTATCGCAGTATGGTCACGATGCATCAGTGCGGCACGTTGCTGCGCAGCAACGACTTTTGGGGGTGTCCTTTCAGATTTCCGTGCCCAAAAGTTGAACAGGCAATTCCCTAGTGGATCGATAGCATCAATGTCATTGATGGTAATTTCGCACCACCAATGTCATTCTAAAATAAAGACCCGAGAATTTACATCTTACACATTAGGTTGATGGTTGCCCCTTCCAAGCTTTACGATAGCCTGAGTTGAGCAGAGTGGAAGAACTTCCACTCGGTATGTAATGGATGTCCGAGTTAATACGCCACAACCAGCGCTATCTGTCATCATCCAATTGACTAATGTTAATCATTATCAGCGCATTTCTTCACGGTTCATCGTTTTGAACTAGAGCGTGTCGCCTTGACATTCAGCTCGGAGACCCACAGTCCCAATCTCCTTACCTTACTTGAGTGATTTTCAATGTGGGCATGACACCGGCATCACAAATAAAACATGCGCAGAAATACCGCCTAAGAATTTGCAATTCTTCATTTACTCATGACGACTACATAGCTATTCTCGTTAGCATAACTGAATGGGTGAACCGATCAGTCAACCTTTGTATTTCGCCCTGAAACATTGACGGACACTAGGAATTGGTGGCGCTATAGCTACCCTTCATACGTTTACGGTGTGAAGGATTGCAGGGAGGCGAGATTATTTCACATTACTCGACCGGGGCGGACTGCACCATTTCAAGATCGTCAGACAGCAGAGCGATGTAGTCGGGTTAAATCAAATTCGCTCGTACCATATCGGGAGCAGCCTCAATGCATGTATTATGACCTAGGGTAAGCTAAGTCTGTAACGCTGAAGGAATCTACTAGAAAGTAACCATAAACTCGATTGCACGGCGGCAAGCAGTTCTCAGGAATGTCGCGCACCGCAGCAACGAAACCACTGGAATAAATGTCTAGGCACGGAACATGTGGATGGAAGACGCGTCTAAAATCGAACAATGGAACCAAATGTACCATCATATTTATGCGACTCGGTCACGGAGCTGAATAGGTGATAGCGAGTGACGATTGAAAGCAAAGTGAGTTTATCGTCTCAGTATGCACTCTCATCAAAACGGGAAGTAATTCAATGAGCTCACTCGAAAGTGATTGTTGCCGGTGAGCAAGTTCACTGTCGGGGTCAGGACGTCATCACAGATACCACCTTGGAGTAGGCACTTGCCACAATCGCAGTGGAGATCGCTATTACCAACTATGCGCCAACCATAATCACTTTATCAAACACAGCTCCGATATGAGCGTTCGCACTACTTCACCTGGCGTCTTCTGGACCGCAGGCTACCTTTGATTATAATTGATTGCTCTACCAGAAGGGCACGTCAATCGATAACTACCGGTCGATGCGGCGGAGCACGTGCTCACCCCTCTTGTTCCACCGAGGCATGTGTTTGTTCGTCACTTGTGGTCGCAATCCATGAGGCCGCAACATCAACCAGAATTGCAAATCAAGTCGTCACTGGCGAACATGGCGGATGCACCGAAGCCGTTTGAGCAGGAAGCCCTACTAAGCATGAAAAGCAGCCGATGGAAAAAGACAGTTCTGACGGCTAATGGACCGTGCGACAATGTGTTGCTCAGAGTAATTACCATGTATGATGCCGTCGGATGGACCACGTATTAGTACGTATTGAGCAGGCATCCAATCCCTTGGCGATGCTTCAGATAAGATTCGTCAATGAAGTGCACATAACAAGCGACCGCGGTATGCGGTGCAGTCTGGGTCACAACTTCTAATTTAGTACAGACCAACAGTTACTCTTCGGTGCAATCACAATTCCGGCCGGTGGCCGAGTGGTATGCGCGTCTGGTTTGCAACCATAAGGTCACCGGTTCGAATCCGCATAGGGGCGGGCGCGTGGCAGCGAAGCGTCATCACCGCGTACAACTGGCGATTTACTTATTTTTACCCTATCCGTTTCATAGCTTTTGCTTCAGAATGGCTAAAGAACAGAACTGATTATTTGTTAAAGGCAAGGAGCCTTTGCATCAGGTGTGAACCAGGAGTTTGGTTCTATTGCAACGGCACCTTGTGCAGCTGCAGTCCATCAGCAAGCAGCTAGGAACAGGGGGTGGGGAATTGCTGAAGATTGTTATTTTGGCAAAAACCGGCCTCCGTTTCTCTGCTCTGATGTACGCAGCAAAGGAGACGGTGACACGACGGTCAGTGGGGCTTTGTGTTCTTAAGCTTGATCTGGTTGTGAAAGAGCCGGATTACCATCACAGCACCTGACTCATACAGCATGACTGAGATTGTCAGTTAAGGAGCATAGTTCAAGAACCCGACCATACGACTAAAACGCCGGGGTCAGCAGATAATCAGTACGGCTCTCGTTATAGAGTGAAGGGCTGCATCAGTTGCTGTAAGTACTATGTGGAAATGTCAAGAAAAAAGATAAATCGCCGTACGGAACCCTCACCTGCCAACAGACTACGTATGGACAGCAGCAAATTTTCCACTGTCAGCAGAGGAGACCACTTCTCTTTGAGGATGTCCAGGCATATGGTTCCGCGGGTGTCAACGTTTGGATGATAACAGCGGGAAACAAATCGAACAGTGGGGGGACTGTAGGGGTAATTTGATCCGAATTCTAGCAATAGTTTGTATCGCTGACCTTCATAAACCTGAAATGCAGCAAAAATAAACAGGATCTTATCACTGTCACTTCTTAAATCAAAAATCACGACATTTGCAGCGATGATCTGTCGTACACAGCTACTGTTTTGGGAAGACGTGACTTTCTATAGATAGCGCTATCCTACGCAATGTTCGTAACTTGCATAGCACTGAAGGATGAGTTGTGCTATATAGCAGTCGTTTTGTAAGCCATACCAGTCCATCTCATCTGTGGTTTGATAGCATACGCTGCTGGCTAATAGCGTAAGCCATTAGTGGTCACGGGTTCCGTTCCCGAAGGAAGCGGAGGGTGCACACGACTGAGGAGTCTCAATAGGACGAAACGGCCGTTTGGTGCTTATCCGGATGCGTGATTGGCTATATGGCTTGGAAGCCCCTGCGACGAACTCTCCATAATAATAAAAACATGAAAATCGGGGTATTTGCACAGTGAAGCAGCTGCCCGGAAATAGTTATCGCGTCTGAACAGTGACAAGTTATGCCCGGATTTGAATAGCATGGCGCCAGCAGGTGCCAATGTCCCACCCACCTGTCACGATTCAGATACATTATAGGAGCATCGTTTGTGCACATTGGTCGTTATGTGCAAGTAGAAAGCCACCAAGTGGAAAAGGCAGCGCTTCATTGCAGCCAAGGTTGCTGAATGCATCTGAGTCAGGAGCACGCTGAATTGAAGACATCGAAAAAAATACTCAGTCTCTGTGGTTAGTGCTTGCGGAGAACTGAGAGTGTTGCTTGCAGTACACTGGATGTTGATCGCATCCTTCGCATATTTGATCGAGTTATTTTAATGTGTTCATCCCAGCAGCTCACAAGCTACGTAGCTCAGCCACAATCCGGAAAAGCACCAGACGCGTTTCGCCCTATTGGGGCTCATCAGTGGTGCGCATTCTCTCGGTTCGCTACTGGGGATCGAACCCAGGCGGAGGCTGAGGTCAACTAGCGAGCAGCTTAAGTCACTGAGCCATGGGGGAGGGCAGCTGGGCTTCATAATTTGCAAGCTAACGGCCTATCTTCCACTGCCACGCAGGTTGATCAGGTTATGTGCTGTTTGCCGGCACAGCGCATCGATGATTGGAGCTTCGGGGTGACTAAATTATGACGGTAGACAGTATTTAATCACTTCAATGATTTTGGTGCCTTTCGATCCTTTTACCTCGGTTTTTTGGTTGTGTTTACACTATTACAATCGTCCTTTCTACTATATCGATGAGAATCTATGCAGCTTGATTCATCCTACACATTCCGTAGCTCATCATGGCCGCGTAACCCACCTGAACAAACTCGACGCAACATGCGCCACGTGACGAATCACGCATGGCAACCGCAAAACGGAACGCGCATCCAACATCGATAAGTTTCGGCAAAGTAGTTCCTAGAGGCATTCGTACGCCAATATTGGCACCATCTGTGGTGATTCTTACGTCACTGAGTCAAGGGGATGTGGCTGTCGCGCTCAAAACGACTGAAGGAGACTAGCTAGGGGTGCACAACTTCCCCTCCTCCTATAAAAGGTACTTTTTCGGAATGCCTGACCGATTTCAACGATCAAGGCCTGCCTGAATCGTGCATGATAAAACGTGCAGGGGTCATCACCTTTAACAGTGGTAGTGAAATTGATAAAAAGCAGTAACAAGGAAATCAGATAAAATGGACGCGATGACAAACCAAACACAGCTTGAAGACATCCCATCTTATCGAGAACGGGTTTATCTGTTGCCTGGTTGAGTCAAGTATGATGAGCAGCGACCCGTCTATGGACATGAGAAGGCGAAAGTATCTCCGTGGATTTTGGAGTAATACACCGAAATTACTCGCACTTGAAGTGTGAGAGATGTCCATTCTAAACACTGGATATCATCATTGTTGTTAAAGACTACATGTGCGGAAATGACGCAAGCCTGCGAACGTAGTAATGGCTCGTAGTCGAACGGTGCAAGAACAGGACACACCGAGCTGATAGCACATAACTGTATTTTGGCGCGAACGGGTTCAGAGCATCGATGAAGTAGCTGAAGTCAAATCATTAGACCGACACGTGCACACATGTAGGGACAGTCGATGTTGCTATAGTGACTCATCTCCCCCAGACAGCCTGCTAACGATCAACTGGTTGGCGTACTCTAACCGAGCAACGTATTTGGTTCGGCTTCAGGCTGATTTGTTTTGCGTGTCCTCCGTGACTGTTGGCTTAGTCGACGAGCCTGGCAATATGTCCTCTGGCTCGATGGAAACAGAACGACAGCGAACGTGGTCTATATGCCGGGCAACTCTGGCGTCCAATAGTGCAACCTCCACTCTCTGGCCTTCAATTTCACATAAATCTGCAGGCTGCCAACTCGGCTCTTGGGGGAATTGGTGTAAACTGTATCATCATCGCGGTTGTCGATGGTACCTCACTTTAAGTTTCTCTTGCCGTGATCCGAAAAGAGTAGGTCTAGCCGCGTCCTAGTGCTTCGAACATCAGTTCGCCTGGACTCAAGCCTGTCGTTTCATTTGGAGTAGAGCGGTAAGCGAATAGAAATGTGCCCAATTTCGTCCGGAGTAAAGCGGGCGATTGTTTATGCAACCCGATTTTTACTGTTTAGACTTGTTCCGCTAGCCCATTTGAAGCTGGGTGGTAAGGGGCGATCTTCAACTGTCCGATGCCGTCATTTTGATGGAATTCTTGAAACTGTTTATTAGTGAATATAGAGCCGTTGTCTGTCACTAGTGTTTGTGGAACACCGAATGTGCTAAAACATGTTTGCATGCAGGAAACCCTTGTCTCCGAAGTGGCGTGTCAGTGGAAATATCTCAATCCATTTAGAGTAGGCATCGACTTTAAGAAGAAGCATCTTCCCATCAAGCGAATCAAAAGTCTGCATGTATGCGCTCCCACGGCGTGTTCGATTATTTCCATGGACTCAGTGGCACCGGCGGGGCGTTTCTTTGTGTAGTTTGACATGCTTCGCTGTCTGATCAATCTTTATAAATCGCTATCAATGTCGACCCACCACACATAAGATCGCGCGAGCCCTTTCATTCTGGTGACACCTGAGTGAGCTTCTTGCAGTTATCATCAGAACGACAAGTTAGCGAACAAGCTCGTTTTCGGTGGCTCTCATCAGGCTAAAACACCACAACTGATAGGGATAAGATTAACATAAAACGGCATATAATGGTAGAGTTCAAACTTCAAGGTCATTGGAAAACAGATCAGAAGTGATCGATGGACTAGCGCCGGCATGTCCCTCAACGAGTCGTTGTGATAGAGGGCCAGGGCAAACACAGAATCTGAACGAACCGTTTTTGAGCACATAATTCTAGGTTCTGGTGGCGGATAGCAATTGCCTCAGCTGCTGCTAGTAAGCGACATTTTACCGCACGTGAAAGACGTCCAGGTACACGGTAAATGGGTTGGAAAGATTGGCGGGTGTCGATTTGGTGATTAGAATCAACCAAGTGTGCCAACACGGCGCTCATCGCAGTTTTTCTCGAACCATTGCGTAGGTTAGCTGGACAATGCTCGCGTATTCTCTCAGACAGCCTCCTTGTAGTTCTTCCGATGTATCTTGCTCGACATGAACAAGAGAAGGAATATACACAATAAGAAGTACATGACCAAGGAAGTCTGTCTTTGAGTTGGGGCCTCACGATTGGTGTTGAAGTAAAACTTAGCCGCAAGCTCGCTGCGTAGCACGTATGGCTCATAGCGTCGGATAATCTTCTTGCTGTTGCCTGCGCTATACCGTCCCCCTTGAATGGCAACGACAAATAAACCGGTTTCTTTTCTACCGAAGCTGGTTTAGCTCTCGTTTCTCTGCATTCCATATATTTCCGAACAAATTTTTCTGGATAGCCGTTTCTCTCGAAGAAGCCACTTAAAAAACTGAGCTCGTCCGCAAGTGTGTCCTCACTACAAATCCTTCTTGCAGTTAATCCAACACATACTATCGTTACCGATGTAGTATGATATTAGTCATCCTCGAGGCTTAGTTCTGTACGTCGGGTGAAGTAAGGCAACGGTTCCGCGTCACATTTATCGGAAGATCAAATGTTTAGGTTTGCAAAGGAATACATCAAGTTCTGTCTCACGGCGGATATCCGCGTACTGGTCAAGTGCTGCATTAACTGGACTAGTTCAGCCAGTTCCAATACACAATCGGACAGATGATACAACGTCAACCGACTCAATTCATCCGCAATGCCGTTTGGTTTTTCAAGAACTTAAGGGGTAATGTAATTGTTAGCCAACAGCAATAAGGCACAACGTTGCATAGGGGGAGATAACATCTGGTTAGTACAGGGGTGTCCAAACTCCGGCCCGCAGGCCAAATGCAGCCCGCATCAACATTTCAACTGGCCCGCGGCCTCATCATTACATAATAAATTCAGACTTGGACTTTCTTCGTACATGTGTAATCTTTGTTCTTATCTTAATAAGACGATATGGTCGACATATTTTTACCTCACAAAATGTGACCCTCCTTGCAAGAAAGGTTTGGACATCGCTGGATTAGTATCTTTACGTTCACAAATCAAAGGTAATAGCGGTTTGTGATCAGTAAAGACTGAAACATTTTCCCCAGAAATACTGGTGAAACTTCCTTACACCGAATATAATTGCCAACGCCGGCAATAAGCTCTTAGAAGCAAAAGTGATGGGTCTCTCAGTTTGTTCATCCACCTTGTGCGACAGTGAAGCGTCATATTGGAGAGTGATTTGCCTCTTCAGATAAAACTGTGATAACAGATTAGCCTTCTACATGGCTGCTTTGGCATCAGCGAAAGACTTTTGTACTCTAGCTGACCACTGTCATTTGGCGTTTCTTCGTAGTAAAGCGTACAGTGGTGCGAAGGCGGTGGCCAAATCAGGTAGGAAGCGACTACAGTGTGTTACCACTGATGTTGCGTGATCTCAGAGTCAAGAATGGGCTGGATTTTTTCTCTTAGCGAGCGCACACGGTATTTATCCAAACGAAATCCAAGGTACTGAACAGTGTGT